TGTTCAAGTAATAATATTCTTGTTGAATTTGTTTCATCATCATAATCAGTTAATATAAGAAGTATAAGATGAATTGTTTCAATAATCATAATATATCGTTCACTATATGAAAGAAAGAAATTAAAAAAAAACGAATTTAACTGAAGAAAACAACATACTTAACAAGTTTTATTGATTGTGCCATATGATAAATAGTTTTCTTTGATGAATTCGTTTGTCGAAGTAAATCTGTTGATGTTATATTATTTATATTTTGTTTATCATTTGAAATACAACTTATAACTTGTAAACTATGTTGCCACCATGAAAATAGATCAAGTTGATTTATATTTTCAATTATAAATTGTTGTTGTTGTTGTTTTTCATCTTGAAATAAAAGTTGATTTTGTATATTATTATAAAGAACATATTCAAAAAATTGAATACGTATTGATTCCATAAATATTTTCTTTTTAAATAAATAAATATTCGTTTCAAATATAAATTGATTTAAACGATCAATATCGAATAACCATATATCATTAATATCAATTGGTATAAGAAATTTTAATAAATATGATATAAATAATGTAAATAATCCATCTAATTTTTTAAATGTTAATGCTGATAGAAAACAAATTTCATTGCGTTTATTTTTATCTAATTTTTTTCCTGAATTTATTGATGTATTTATTGTTAATAAAAATAAATTAAAAATATTTAATAATGATTTTGAATAATGATATTCTATTTTCCATAATTGTAAATAACAATCATTTAATTCACGATTATAATTACGTGTATCGATTGATTTAGTCCAACCAGACCAATATGTTAACCAACGACCAACAAATATAATATTAAGAAAAAAACGAATTATTTGCCATGTTATAGAAGACAAATAATAAATATACGTATTATCAATTGATATATAAAGTTTTTCACAACATTTTCGATAATATATGTGTGCTTCATTTAATTGATTCTTTGAAATTAAGAAAAGAAAATTTAGTATTATACTTTTATCTGATTCAAATATTCTAAATTGCTCGTCAATGTTAGTTTATAGATAGATTCTTACAAGATTAATTTCGAACTGTTTTGAAAGCGTGAATGCTTAGTGAATAGCTATGTTTGCCTTATTGAATTGTCGATTGGTTACAAAGTCATTTGAGTAGACATACTTCCTTAGATTTTATTCGTCTGATATGCAATCAAATATAAGAAGACAAGAATTTTAATATATTTGAAAAGGTTGTGAAAGATGTAGATAATTTTCTTTAAACGATAAAACTATTTAAATCTAATCTATGGATTATAATCAAAAGTTACGTCTTGGATATAGGATTCATCGGTAATATTATTCTTCATAATTAACAATGAAAAACTATATAGGACAGCAAAACAGAGAACTTGGTAGAATAACAAACAATTTTTGAGCAAAGCCTCACAGAAAATCTAATGATTTCAAGACTCATAAAGTTTAGTATGTGTCTCCTTGGTGATCAGTTAATGAAGCTGATTGAGTAATAAATTATTGAAATTGATTAGCGAAACGAAGACAAAATCAAAAAGTTAATCACATAATTCATAGACAACATCTTATTGAGGTAGCTAATTTTTATATGTCTGCCTATGGGAAAATGATCACTTTTTGAATACTTAACATCTCGAAAAACAGGTGCTCTCATCTAGATTAAAACGATTAAAAAGTTCCGAAATCGATTAGTCTTATGAATTGACGAAACTTTAGAATTCTTTTCGAGTTTTATAGAGAATGGCTCTTGGAAAAAAATGAAAATCTTCTTTATTAGTTTATATCACAAAAAAATAATGATCACTTTAAAATCATTTATTAAAGTGGTTCCTTCCTTTATTATTATCCTATCGAACTGCATTATTACTATTAGAACGAAATAGTTGAAAATAATTCATCTTATTATTAACATACTTCATCCATAAGTGCATCTGCTTTTTTCTTATAAGCATAATATTCATTCATATCTAATTCATGTACGATCGGTTCTCCATGAACAAAAATTTTTACAAGACAAACAAGACATATTGCTATATTGAGCATCCATGCTATAAGTTGTTTCCATGATATACTCAAAAATACTAAACAGAAAAAAATAAAATTAATAAATAACAAATAATTTAATTTAAATAAAAAATTTTGTTACATAATGAATTAAAATTTTCATCATCTTTTACTGCTTGTAATGTTCTTGAACTAAGAATTGATTGTGTGTCAGTTGTACCACCATTACTCGATGAATGAATACGATCAAGTAAATAATTAAATGGATTTGTTATAAGTATACATAACATAAAACAACATAAAACTAATCGTGATCCATCAACCATACCTCGTTTACTGTTCGTTGGTTTTTTTCCTTTAAAATCAAAAGAAATTATCAAAAATGAAAAATGATTATTTGTTTGTTTGTTTATTTTACGTTTTTTAACAGGCTTATATATTTCACCATTGGAATCACTATTAAATATTGATGATGATGATGTTGGAGTTTTTGTCGAAGAATTTCTATTCGGTGATTGTATATCATCATTACGTGAAATATCAGTGCCTAAATCGAAGAAAGAAGAAATAAGAAATCGCAATGTAGATAAGGGCTTTTTATAGGGAAATATAAGCTAATGCTCTTTTTTTTTCTTTTTTTCCTTTCTCAAGTACACTCGCATTATCTAAAACTAATAAAAGAAGAAAGCAATCATTGCTATGGAACTAGTGATGACAGCAGCTTACTGCTTTGTGTCTATCTATCGTTTGAATGTAACAGGTCTCAAGAGACAAAAAGAAAAGACGACAAATCAAAATGAAATAAAATAGAATATTGAAATATCTATTAAAATAATTAGATATTCAACAGATGAAAAATGATTGTAAACATACTTGTCAACTTTAATTGTTTCAAGATGTTTTTCAAGGTACTATTTTCTTCTTCTAATCGTCGATTAGTTGATTGAAGTTGTCGAATATGTTCAATTGTACGTCGAAGTATACCAGATTTTTGGATCTATTCGGTACGAAAAAACAAACACTTTTCAACACATGATTAGTCTTCATTTAGTAAATGAGATAATCTAGAAGATAGACTACATCTAATCAGTAAGCTGTCGAACAGAAGAGAAAAAAAAGAAAACCAACTGCTCTGTCCATGTTATCAACTGACGATAGACTTATCTATTGCCATTCTAATCAATCTTTTTCGACCCCTTATTCGCCTACCTTTCCATCAGTAATCGCTACAATTTCTTTCAATTCATTTATTTTTTCATTAATGCTAGATCGATATCGTTTTTCAATTGCAGTATGTGATAAGTTTCGTCGAGGACGATTGTCATTTCCATTTCCATTTCCAATTATTGATTCGTTATTATTATTATGATTTTCTGTTAGTGAATCTTGATGACTAAATTTATCTGAACTATTAGAAGTATGATTATGACTTGTTTGGTGAACAATTCTTAAAGGAATATTATTTGCAATAATAGTACTATTTTCAAAAAGAGTGGAGATTGTATTGGCACTTGTTTTCGATGTATTCGGAATAGCACGTATTAACTAGAAAATATTCAAATTTTACAAAAAACATAAAAATGATATTATTCGTACTGTTTGAAATTGATCGAAGGTTATTATAATTGGTTCAGGTTTCTCAATTAACTTAGGAAATGGAACAGATGATAATGGTGATTGAGAACAAGTTGTTGTTTGTTCTCTTGTAGCAATGATTTGATCTGCTTGATAATTGGACATATTCGCCGATGCAGACTAATGCATAAAAACAAATATATTATGTTCCTTTTTTTTACTTTTACATTACTTCACGATGATCTGTTGGAATACAGCTTGGAGGAGAGAAAAGTAATTCATTATTTGTTTGTTGCTTTTGGTATTGTTCAATTAATAATTTGAATGGATCTGGAGACAGTACTTCATCGAATTCTGCTTGAAGACTTTGTACATTATTGTTAATTGCTTCTGAATTTAAAGTAGTCTTGTATGATGATGGAAGATCTGGAGATGTATGAAAGTAGTTTATGTCATTTATCGAACTATCAATACATTGTATATCGTTTGTATTGACATCAAAATCTGAGAGAATATTATTAAGAATACTGTCTGATAATTTAAAATCATATGTTAAATAATCTTGAATATTAATATAAAATTAAAAATTCATTTCAATTCTAAAACAAAAAGATATATCTTACCGTCTAATACCGTTGAAGTAATGTTTAACGATTCCGGTAATTGAAACTCGTCAAATTGATGCAGTTTGCTACTCATTCGTTGCCTTATTTTTATTATTTACATAGAAAAATACAATCAATTAATACATTTTTATTTCGTTGGTAACAATTTTCGAAGCATCACGCCATTCTAGGCAGATCGATATATGACTCATCCTATTGTCAAAGTCTTCTTGACAACAGCAATTATTGCTTCAGACTAATATCCTATTGGGGGTTTAGTTATATAAATGTTGAAATAATTGTCAAATTTATTTGAATGTTTACTGATAAGATATTATTATCGAAGTTTTCAAATACTTCATACCAAAATAAATGTAGATGTCGTCATTATGTGTGAATAAATTTACTTTTGTAAATTTTGTGAAATATAGATCTGTTAGTTTTGAATATCATATTCATTCATTTAATGCAATCTATTCTATATTGATGTTTGATTTATTTCGGTTTACAGTTACATTGCTATCATATGATGAATAAGTACAATTCTGTATGTACTATAAGGACAGAAGTATATATAGTTTATTTTCTGTTAATATATTGTTAATGAAGTAGAAGCGAATCATTAAGTAATATTGATTACAAAAATTGTATATTAAATATTTTCAATATAATTTGTTTTTTTTTAAATTTATTAAGAAAAAGGAATTTTAATGTTAAAGATTAATTAAAAGGGAAACCTAATAAATATATGATATCCATTGATGATTATATAAAAAGAAACAAATATATGACGGTTATCATTATATATAATTTTTCACTTGATTAGATTGAATAATTTGGCCATGTTTCTCTGTAAAATTATCAAGTCTTTCCTTGATGGTTTTTGGATCTACTCCACGACTTGCATCTTCAATAATAAATGTTTTATAACCCTGTTCTAATGCATCAATACCCGTAAAATATACACAATAATCTGTTGCTAGACCAGCAAGATATATTTGAGTAACTTGTTTTTCTGTTAATAATTTATGTAATTTTGTTTCACTCAATTTAAAATTATCCCAAAAAGCTGAATATGAATCAATATCGGACTTTGTTCCTTTATACATATGAATAACTGATATATTTCGTGTATTCTTTTCATCAATTACTTTCAAATCAGAATGTAATTCAGCTCCAGAAGTATTTTGAACACAATGTGCAGGCCAAAGAACTTGTTCCATACGAGCAAGACCAGGAATATCAAATATTGCCGTTGAATAAGGACGAAGATCAGCTAAAGGTATCGAATCATTAGTAAGAAACTGTGAACGAAGATGAAGACTATCAAAAAATGATATGTGATCACTAGGATGCCAATCATAAGTGTAAACAACTACATCGAAATCAATGGAATCAAGAAGACGATTTATTACTGGAACAACTTCTTCACCATTATGTTTAGATGGACATTTTCGAAGAGAAAGACTTCCATCAATAAAATCATGCTGTACATCAATAATCACAAGAGCATTAACTTGTCGATTAGAAGTTTGTTGTTTACCTATAGACATTAACAGCAAAATGAAAACAAAATTAATATAAATGTTTACAACTTCTTTGTTTTACAGATCTAAAAAAAAGAAGAAACTCACCATTTGCTAATGAAGTGTAATGAGATTTGAATAAATCTATTATATTATGGTTACTATCATCAATTTTATTCAATAATTGATTGATACTATTATTGAGTAATAATTCAACTCGATTCAGTTGTTCTGATACATTATTCAATTGTTCCTTAATTTCATCATATTCTGATGCTCTACTCATACTTGAAAGAAAAGTGAAAGTTAGAAAGAATAGCAATGATTTGTGCATAGTAATATGATATCTTGAAGCGATATATAAAAAATGACAGCTATACTAACAAAACGCTAGATAAATAAAATAAGACCTCTCCACACTTGCAGTTATATAAGTCTGTCGATTGTTTTAATCGTCTTTCAGCTATCATCAAATATTAATAGATAAAAATCTGCAGTCGGAAGAACTTCTTTTGTATATCTATGGATCATAAAAAAAAAAAAAGTACATATCGTGCTGTTGAATAAAATGAATAATTGAGAATTTATGCGCGCGCACACACATAAAATAGCAAATAACTAGGAGATTAGTGAATATAGTATTGTTAAGAAAAAAATTGTTGAATTTTTATTAAAAATCACATTTATTCGAGCTTTCTATAGATGATCGATTGTCAAAATCTTGAATAAATGTGAATCGGTCGAAAGCTTGAATAAATATGATTTTCAACAAAAAATTCAACACTGTTTTTCATAATAGTATTGTACTCACTCATCTCCTGTGTACATTCTACTGCTCTTCAACCTCATTATTTATCTAGTACTTTCTCTAAGTACAAGAAATAACGGAAGACCTTTGCAGAATGAGACACTTTGATTTTCTTCTTTTTTGAAGGTTAGCAACACAGTTTAGAGACACCATTTTAAGCTTGTTCAGTCGAGAATGTTTTGCTCTATAAAACTGTCAACTTCGTTCTTCAAATAAATTTTTGTGTCACAAAAGAAAAATTGAAAAGATTGACAGTCATTCAACGATTAAATTACGACTGTTAGAAAACAAAACAGTTATTAAAAAGATGTTTAAATAATAGTTTCGCCAAAATTCGAAATAGCAAGATATACCGTGAAATGTTACATCTAACGATATTTCGCAATTTAAAAAAACAATTGGAAGAACAATTTTTCAAACAAAAATTATAAAACGATGAAAAAGATGCTTTCTGGCAGTTCTATGCTATTGGAAACAATCTAAAGGTTTTCGTTGCTCGATTTAAATGTTACATCATTTTGTTCATAATAAAATTCTACATCCTATAATAAGATGACAAAGAATTCATAGAGTGCGCTCACTTTTACAAACACTAGTTTCGAAAACATATTCAAAACAAAATACTATCAGGTGTTAGCTCCAAGCTTTTTGCACCTGAACGACATCATTATGAGCTATGAGAAGATCTTTGGATTATAGGGTATAATCCTTTTAATCTATTGATACTAAATACTTGACATTTAGCATCGAACTTTATCAGTACAAGCTTGCACCAATCGTTAGATGTTCGCAGAAAATAATAAGAGGTCGCAGTAAAGCAGTCTATCATTCCTTACCAGTTTTCGTCGATAAGACAAAATACTTTAAAAATCGAAGTCCACATTTTTGTAGACCAAAAAATTCTCTACTGAATGAGTGTAGAATGGTGCCTTTCAACAATATGCTTGTTCTTCAAAACGCAAAAAATCCAACTGTTCCGTTATTTATCATATATGTCGAACTTGAAACTTGAATTCAATTGAAGTTTCAACTTTCAAGTTTCAAGTTTCAACTTTCAAGCCTCAAATGGGCAGCACTGTGAAGAGTCGCCACTAACCCGCATTCTCACACACACATCATCGCAGCTGGTGAGGGTGCGGCGAAAGGACTGGCCACGAAAAGACACATATCACATCGCAGCTGGTGTGGGTGCCGCGAAAGGACTCCCCAGAAAAGGACCGGTCGCGAAACGACTTGAAAGTTGAAATTTCAGTTGAAAGCTGAAATTTCAATTGAATTCAAGTTTCAAGTTTGACACTACTGGAGCGCTCATGAGGCTATGTGAAAAATAGTATCAAAAATCGTTCCTATAACTTTGAGATTTTTTCGATGACATCAAATTAATGAAATTTTTCGTGTAATATACCAAAAGATAGAGCATCGAAAGCTGAACAAAATTACGTATTTACATATTATATTTTCATGGACCTATCGATAGTTATTTATGAAATACTGTTCATGACTAGTCATTTTTCGAGTGAAAAATNATTCAGAATAATTTTTTCTTAAAAATGCTGTCAAGTTAGTCAACATTGTGAGCCATTTTTCGCCTCGATGGAGAAAATTTTTTTTAACTGTTTTTTAATCATTTTGTAGAGGAAAAAAAGTTGTACAACATATGAAATTCAGCATGGGGTCTTTTAAAATGACTGAATGGCAGCTGATACACTGCAAAAAATTGTCCAATTTTTCACTCGAAAAATGACTAGTCATGAACAGTATTTCATAAATAACTATCGATAGGTCCATGAAAATATAATATGTAAATACGTAATTTTGTTCAGCTTTCGATGCTCTATCTTTTGGTATATTACACAAAAAATTTCACTAATTTAATGTCATCGAAAAAATCTCAAAGTTATAGGAACGATTTTTGATACTATTTTTCAAATAGCCTCATCAGCGCTCGACAGTAAAATTGAGCTAACTTTTCACTAGCTCAACCAAATGCGCTAAAAATTTGGATTTAGAGATTTCAAATGATGCTGAATAAAATGAGAACATCAAATCAAAAATCTAAATTTTATCGAGTGCTTCGATATTTTGATGGGCTCATGGACGCTCTCTTAATGGTTAGAAGTTTGTCTTCATAACTATTAAACAATTTTGTACTGATTTGGTTTTTACGTTATATGTCTATGGTCTATATTATTAGTGTATGATTGAATCTTCTGCATCGAAGAAATACAATTATATATGCTTGATAGGGTCGTTTGTAAGTTATAGCAAGCGAACATAAGTACTCCCTCTAGTAAAATTGTTATCAATTAATATTTTTACTAGACAAGTTTCTATATCTTACTTCCGTACTTAAAAACTTTCGAATCATTTTTAAAATTATTCAATCGAACATTAATGACAATTACTTTGAAGTAAACAAAGATTCATAATAATTTATAAAGTCTCTAAATCCAAGAATTAAGAACTAAATACATATCATCAATTTCACTGTCTCATAGTTTCAAACCTTAAATATTTGCCAAAGGCTGTTTAAAATTTTTGATAATGTTCAATATTTCTAGTCATAGTTGGAACACCGATAATACTTGGTCACTGTTTTTCTAAAAGAAAAGTTGTTGCATTAATGTCGGGTATGTCTCTAGGATAGCAAAAGAAAAAACAAGAATTCAGCTATAATTTACAAGATAAAAATAAAGTCTTTCAATATCAGCTCGAAAATCCTGATCATTTTACAATTGTAGTGATCACACATCTCTGAGCACAAGTTTTCTTCCCCTAGGCCTTCTTCTCGCATAGAACTTCTTTGGTCGCAAGTGACTATTAACTACCAAGATGGCTTAAGTATTCAATTGTAGGGTAGTCTATGATTGATGACAATTTGTTTCAATGAAGAAAATACGTCTTTCAATACAGTTGAGCAACCGTACAAATGAGTTGGTTAACAGAATGTTTCACGACTGAGTTATCCTTTTTTGTGTCTACTAACTGTTGTACTGGCTTGAATCATTAAATTTTCTTCGTTACCGACTCGAATCTCTTTCGAGAATATGGTATAGGCAATTATACAAATACAGATAAAGTAGAACTAGTAGAACATTTAGAAAATATTTAAAAAAACAGAGGTGACCCAGTCATGGAGTATTCTATCAACCAACTCAGTTGTAGCCTTGCTCGATTATATTGAATGACATACATTCTTCATTGGAGCAGGTCATAATCGATCATACACTACACTGATATGCAGTATTTAAGCCATTATCGTAACCAACATTTACTTGAGATCAAAGGGGTTCGATACGAAAAGAACCAGAGGAGAGAAGACTTTTATTCATGGGTGTATATAAGATCAACTGAATAAAAAAAAAGCAAATTAAATACATATTGACGATTAAAGCATAAAAACAAAAAATATAAGTGGGAGGTCATGAATAAATATTCACCTTCCTATCGTATTAAGCACATTTGAATGAAATATTAAAGTATATCGTTTGAAAGCTCTTCATGATTTCAAGAATAGATCTTTATTCCAGAATTTATAATCAACGAATTGCCAGGTTAAATAAACACGAAGAATTTATGGAAGAATATATTATAATCTTAAAAAGCGTCAATTATATGGTAAATCTATTGCTAGAGTAATAAAATCAACACGTAAACTGACAATAATAACATGATTATAAAGAACTTGACATAGGCTTCTATGAACCAAACAATACTAGATTAAAAAAAAACAAGATATAAAAATATTTCGTCTAATTATAGAGTCCAAATCGCATTGCTTTCGAAATAAATAAATCAGCAACATGAACTCAAATATCGTCTTCAATATTTGAAGCATCGAAGCATGTTTTTATATAATCAGTAGATAGAACAAAAATCAACTAAGAAATTTTGTACTAGTATGAAAAGATTGCCGGTTGTTCATTTATATTATACTCAATCGTATATAAACATTGCTACTTTTAATCTTTCACAAAACCTGTACGAATAAACTGTTTGATAGTTATGATCGGTATTTCTAATGAATACAGTAGTCGGTTAATATATTCTCTAATAAGCATGTCACATGATGTTATTGTATATAGAATAATTATTTCAAAATTAAATAGTGTTGATAATTAATTCCAAGCAGATGCCTTTGCAATTCAAAAACTACAAGTCTGTAAATGATTATCTCTTCGCTTGAAAAAGTGTTTTGAGATTTCTTGAATACTCTCCGTTTTTTAATTATTATGATAGAAAAAGGTTTAATCGCCAATCGAGTTTAGGATGTGTGTCTATATAGTGAAAGTACAGCTTCGAAATGACAATAAAAAGTAACAAAAGAAAAAAGACAGAAAAACTTAAAGCTAAGAGACAACTCTGTGGAAATATATACATTTCGACCAACTTTGATAATTATTTCTAGTGGACTCCTACCATTCACTGCAACCTACACACGCATTTTCTGTTATTCTCTATCATTAAATACTTATCTTTTGTATCATGATACATATACGTACTGAATTGTCGTCATCATTAACCCAATAGCCAAATTGTTATCTGATTGTGGATCAGCATACTTGACTTTTCTTGCGATCAGAATTGAATTTATCTATTTCTACATCTGATTCACTCATCTTCGTGACAAGTAACAAGAATTAAAACACATAAAACAGATTCAACGGTAGTGAAATTGACTCAACTAAATATTAAAAAACCTATTTTTTTTTGTGATTACTAAGAATGTTCAAAGTAAAAAATAATTTTAATATGTAGCTAAATGTTTTTCTGCTGTATTACTTTCTACTCGATGAATATTTAATAATCATGTTCAAAAACTAAAAAGGAAATATTGGCACATAATATAAGATCTGAGAGTATATCATTATGAGCTAATTTATATATTAATCCACAATTTCATGTCTACGTTGAAACAACACTACTACATATTTTAACTTTCTATCGAAAAAAATTGTTAAAAGTTTCACGCTACTATATTTAATATATCCCTCTTTGAATAATTCTACATATTTTTCTTAAAAATTTGACTTCATCAATATCATCAATTCTCTTATCTTAATCGCTTTGTTTTTCATATCAACCATTTTTCTATTACCTCTTTCTGTCTCTCAATAATAAAGTTTTTATTAAAAATAGTGCTTCAATTCTTTTATGTCATGATTTCGATGAAAATCATTATCTTTTCACAAATCGTTTATACTACATCTTCTAGAATCTATTATTAATTCATAAAGACTATTATGAAAAAATAATATAAATAAATGATTAATAGCGCTATTTACTGAAGTTACTAAGAGATGAAATCAGACTTAATTTCTTGTTTAATTAACGTATGATAATATGACAGAAACAGCAATTCCAAATGTTGTTCCTACTGGTGATTCGACGTTAATCACCGAAACTGGAACTATATCTAATTCATTTGCACCATTCAATATTGATAAACATGATTCACAAATAGAACTAAATAATTATTATATTAATTACATCGATGAGCCATTAGTTCAGTCAAAATTAAAAACAATAGAAATGAACGAAAATTTAACAGCGACGTCCATTATTGATGAAAATTCATGTCGACTTGAAGTATCACAATTACCTGAAGAGGTAACAAAGTTTTTATAATAAACAAATAACACATAAAATTTACTATAGATATTCATTGATGAAAATATTCAATGTGAATTTGAATGTATTTTTCATGAATTTGATCCAGAAGTCATTATATCCTATTCCGATACTTTTCAACGAGTTTATTTAACTTTTTCTGATCCAATATTAGCATTTCAAGTACGTACAAATATGAATGGAAAAGAATTTCATAATAAAAAAATTCACATTTCATATGCATTACAAAATTCTTCATCAATTAAATATCTTAAACCACCTAAACAAGAACGTATTTATATGCAATCACCACCAACAACACCACCTATTGGTTGGGTTGCTAAACGTGAAGAATTACCTGATATAAATTTCGATTTATTTCTTGCTTTATCAAAATTACAATCTAATGAACCACTTGAAATTCTTTCAAAACAAAATAATCATCCAGCAATTATTATTCATCCGTGTTCAGATACATCATCGGATAATGATGATCTTGATGATGTTATTAATCCTATTATTGATGAATCTGGACATAAAAAATATCAAACAATTGAAGCTAAACGACGTGCTCATATTTTACATGATGCTATTCTTGTACCAGGTGAACAACAAATAACACAAAGTGCCGGTGATGGAGATAGATTAATATCTTAAATCAATGAACTTATCTATTAAATATGAGATTTCGTTGAAGTATTTTGAAAATCAGTATCAAATTGGGTTGACATTCGATTACAGATACTATTAAGTAAATAGTTAAGAAGATGATCCATTAGGTTTTTTTAATGTACGATTGATATTCGATAAAATTGATCGATTTATTTTAATATAGTTTTGGCAATATTTGGTTCAAATCATTCATTTCATGATAAATTCTTTGAATACTTTGTTTTAATACGAAGTCTATTACATTTCGAGCATATTATGATATACATCTAATAAATAAATATGTATATTGTATGTACAAGAATGTACACAGATTCCACTGCTTTTATGATTACTGCAATGAAAGTTTAAATCGATTGAAAGTTTTCTAAATTATAGAACTAATGAAAAGAAGTTCACATATTCATTTATTTGACTTTTTTATACTTTTTTCTAACTAAAGAATATATTGGCTTTTCAGAATATTCTCTATTATCGATTTCAATTATGAAGCAAGTAGCTTTCATCGCGAAACAATTTACTTGACTCTACACTAACGGTATAGAGATATACATATAGGTGCATCTACGTATAAACGTGCTTTAAATAAAATACCAGCTAAATTCAAGAGATGACTTAACTTGTCATAGCAACTCGTTTTACCAAAACAACTTTTTCCGTAATATAAAACTTGATTTTTATGTTTATTAAGAAAAAAAGCAATTTTGAACATGCTACACTTGTCTAATCAAGGTGAGTTTATATTAGTAACATAATCAAACAGGTGCTACAGATGGCTAAGCCTTCCTGCAACTTTTTTCTGGTGACACCACTTGTTTATATGCGCAATATTGTTAATTTTTCTGCAGAATCGTATCAAAGTTTTTCGATGGTTGCACTGTTAGAATTATATTCGCTTTTGTCCTTTCAGACCATTCTTAACACCATTTTTTATTTCAAATGATAATCGAGTACAGTGGATGAATAATTCTTTCTGTCATATATTGATACATGTCGAATTACTGAAATTGTATTAAAGATATGCAGTCACAAATAGTAGTATATTGACTTTAGGAATTTTATACTTCAGGTTCAATATGCTAAATAAAAAAAACTTGTAATTAAAAATGTTTCGATTTATCATCATTCGTATTATTTTGTGTCTTCGACGTGTTTGGAATAAAACTAATATTACATACGTATTGATTGATAAAGATAAAATAGAACTGACTGCAACTGTTGACAACTAGTTCTATTAAAACTATTTCTATTACGAAAAAACAATGATAATTGCATTATTCTAGATATGAAATTGTAGTTTTTCATAATCTTATGTTCAGAGTTATTATCTAATTCTAAATAATAATTGCGTCACATCTTTATGTATACACCATTGAATAAAGGATCGAATTATTCAAGTGTTTAATAACAATTATTATTACTTCTAGAAGTATCTCAGATAAAATAAGCATGCTCATCAACCACCGTAAATCGTCGTATATTGGCATATTACATGATTCAATATTTCTCTATAAACGATCGTATTTCTCTGTATCATATACAGAGAAGTGTGATCCTGTACAGCGAAATACCGAGTGTACACACATATCGTATCCCTCATCTTTGGATATACTATTCTTCTGTTAACATGAATCGTAATGCTTAGACATCCATTTTCATCCTACGCAGTCATTCATACCACAATCGCTAGCTATGGTCATTTGTACAATAGTTATCTATGGTAATCATGCTACAGATAGACATACAGACATAGGTAAAGTTTCGTTTCTAGATCCAATCCTTTCAGTTCAAGGAATATAAATGTTGTGTAAATTTCATATAAAGAAAAAAGAAAACCAACTAGACAACTAATCAAATAGATTAGCAATGTATTCTAGAAAATTATGAAACAGATTAGATAATAACATAATCTGAAGACATGTATATTTATCAAGTTGCTAAGATTACTAATATATATCTTTATTTTCTAAATACGAACGACTCTATTTTTGATATAATCCATTTTATTTCATATATTAAAACATTTTGTTTTGCTAATGTTGATTTGACAAAATTTGAATAGCAATGAGACGTCATTGTATGATCAAGATAAATATCAATTATCACATATCATGCTGTTAATAAACAAATGAATTTATTATCTAATGATTTATCTAACGAAAATTTATATTTAGCCTATGAACAAGTATCGCAAAAATTTATTTAAAACTTCTTTCCATATTATTTCAACAGTCTAATAAATAACTCATTGAAATATCGTATTCAACATGTCGAGCAAACATGTCTCAATAATATACAAATAAATTTATATCTCTTGTTTCCTTTAACACTTACAATTATTTCTATTATTATAATATTAAAATATTAGAAGCTGCCCATATAAAATATCAAACAATTTATTCGTGTATCCAAATATTCAATAATTGTTCCGATTAGCATAATTCTGATCAAACAAAGATTTTTTTTTCTAAGGAAAATTTTCGCACACAAATTTTCTCACATCCATTCAAAGTTTATCTCACTCTCATATTTTGACATACTAGCAAATTTATCTTAAATCAAATTAAAAAACACCTATCCAGCAATCTTTTCAAATAAGAAAAACCAAGGTTTTTTGAAGTCTTTAAATTCTATCAAATTAAAGATGACTTGGCATACCACCAGCAACAACAATTGTTTCACCAGTAATATATGATGCATCATCACTAGCAAGAAATGCTACTGTATTAGCACATTCATCAGGTGTACCAACTCGACCAATTGCACATCCATCAAATAGTACGTCTTCAGATTCTTTGCCATTATTATCATTATCCCATAATGATCGACTGAATTTTGTTTTAATAATTCCTGGAGCAATAGCATTGATTCGAATACCTTTTTCTATGCATGGATTCACAAGTGCTTTAGTTAAACCAAGTAAAGTTGTTTTTGATACTGAATAAGCACCAATAAGATCCATTGGACTATAACCAGCTATACTAGATACAATAACAATTGAACTATTTTTTTGTGCTTCAAGATACGGAATAGCTTCTTTAATTAGAAAAAAAGCAGATTTAACATTAACATCAAATATTTTTTCCCATTCGGATTCTGTTGTCTAAATTAAATATAATTTTAAAATTAAATATAAATTAATTTTTTTTTTCTGTTTACTTCTAAAATATTTCCAACTCGTGGACTTATTGCAGCATTAGACACTAATATATCTAATTTACCATATTTTTTTATTGTTTCATCTAATAAACGTTTTCGATCATCACTTTTGCTTACATGACAAACAGTTCCATAGATATCAAATTTTTCTTTCTTTAATGCATCTACTGCTTTTTGAACATTATCTTGTTTACGACTCGAAATAACAACACGTGCACCTTCACGAGCTAATCGATGAGCAATGGCAAAACCGATTCTTTATATTAATTAAACAAATAAACACTTCAATTTTTATTTTTTATTTTAATTATCTTACCCATCAGTCGATGCTGTTACACATGCTACTTTACCGGCTAAACGTGCCATTCTTAAATAAGATTTCTTATAATCTAAAAAGTTTATAATTATATTGTTCTTTTTTTGTTTATTTAATACTAATATATATATATATTCTTTCTTTTCGAATACGAGATAAACATGATGATATGATTTCATACAGAATAAATAAATGAATCTGTGGTGATGATTCATCGAATGAATTTATTGTAAGTCTTGTTCATATAATAAAACTCATACCATGTTAATAAAAGACAACAAGTAAATAAACGTATTATTTTCGTTAATCAATAACCTTGAAACGAATGAGATTTCTAAACAAAGAAAAAAAGTGTTTATCAAGATCATGATGAAATTAAAATGTCAAATACAACATTGATATTCAATTAAGGAATAGATTGATTGAAAAAAACTAATGAGAAAACCTTCTCAGGTGCTATAAAGCTATCGTTGTCAATTAATAAGAGAATAATTAGTAGACTATGAAACTCCCAACAAGATATGGGCTTAAATTGCTAGTTAGCTACAAGAATGCTTCAGTTAGACTAACTTGTAGAATGAATCTTACAAATGTTGAAAATTGCAGCTTGAAAATATTTAGCTTTCGATAATTTCTGTTTTTTATAGAAAAGAGTCTAAATTTTTAAAATTTAATATCTTGAAGATATGATATCCAAAATTTTTTCTATAAGTTAGCCTCATTCAGGCATATGTTTGCGTAAAGTTTTTGATCGAAACTGTAATTTTGCTGGAAATTTGAGGTTCTACAGAAAAAATTCGATCTCTCAAGTAACCAACAATTTGCGCTCATATTACCTTGGGTCGTTCAAAGTCTAATGATCTTCTAATTAATGCACAGAAATGAAGTCAAAAGCTTTTTAGCATCTTATAAGCTTCTCTTATTAGTGTTTCGATGTACATTTCTTTACTCTAACTAGACATCTTTATTTAACATTCCTACACAATGAGAATAAAGGGATATTGTTTGATTTTCATTGCATACAAAAGAAACTCCTCTTCTATCTGAACAGAAAGTGAAGTTAAAGTATGTACTTCTGAAAAAAGATAATAATAATAATAATAATAGAGTTAAAAGAAAATTGTATACCTGTATTATTAACATTGATGTTAGAAGTTAATTATTGGTTTTTCATATATGTCAATATTAATTAAACAACGTTCAATTATTGAGTATTGAAAGAATAAAACAGAAAATGATGCAAACACTATCGTAATTGAAAATGGCATGCTTTCTAAGAAAAATCTATCACATGTTTGTTCTATACTCATTTTTAATTTTTAGTAAGTTTATAGAGTGTAACAACAAAGTCTACATAATTCCATTAATAAGATCACCAAAAATACGATACTAAGAATAATAAGATTGATTGAAAAACATAACAAAAATAATTTCAAAACTCACTTCTATTACAAAATCTTCTCCATTCATCCTAAATAACCTTTTACATAAACTGTTCATATAATTTTTATTTCATTTAATTATTACAATAGTTATATAAATAAGTTGACAATGAAACTATTCTCTATGGTTTCATAAGTTCATAACTATTCCGAATGAATCAATTAGTAATAAAAATCATATTTTATATTAAATTAAATAAACTGTTGATTCAGCTTTTATTAACAATTAATTAACAGCATATTCTCTTAATACCGTCATATATATACAATTTCGACATTACATTAATTAGAATATTTGATCATTATTTTCAAAATTGTTTGTTATTCAATAGTCTGTATTGCTCTTGTTTTTATCAAAATAACTTTCATTAAAATATGTAATACTTATTAACAATAGTTTAGTTTTATTAATTATTATTTTACTAAGATTTATTGCTTCATTATATATCTAAATAATGGAATTAAAAATATTATAGATTAATTTTTTTTTCAGCTGACTATTTCGTCGTATTAATAAAGAAAAAAGAATGATTCAGTTGGAAATATGTCATGAATTGCAAACGTCCAGTACATAAATGCCAACAAAAAAGACACATCATCATTCGAAAACATCTTGCCACGTTTTAAAACATCTTTTGCGACTGTCAAAAACGTGTATTCATTTGTACACAATAACAAAATGATGCAATAAGAAATTATCCAATCACATGTAATGTATCATCCTCTACAGTCACTTGACTCCATTAAATATTTTCTGGAAGCACGAGTTTCTCTGTATATATAAATATATGTAACGAAAAAGGTCTGGATTAATTGATAATATTTTTCATAAAAAGAAACTTTCAATATGTATGCGTCAAATGAAGATGAATTTAATCGTGAAGATAGCGATTGGGTTTTTTTAAGACAAACATCACCAGAAAATACTGTAAAACATCTTCAATTTCGCATAAGTTTCGTATTTTATTCATTTTGTTTTTGTTATTGAAGATTCTTCATGAAGCTGTCAATCTTGTTGATCATGAACAATCAAATTCAAGTTTTTCAACAAATAGTAATAGTAGCTCATCGAAATCTGATCGAAGTGATTCTTTGTCATCTCTTTCATCGATTGAGTGAATATTTTAATTACAAAAAAAAAAATCTTATTTCAATCTACTTATTTTATATAGACATGAACACATACAAACTAATGATCATATTGATCAACAAGAAAGTCATTTATTAATTGAAGATCCGGTGTTAACTAATTCAATTGATGATAGTAATCATGATTTATCATTAACCGGTGAAATTAGAGAAGAAATTTTATCATCTGAAATCATGATTAAACATGATAATGAAAATGAAACAACTCCAATATTTAATGAATATGATTTATTTAATGGTGAATGTAATTTAAGGTATTCGAAAAGTTAAACTTTTTTCATTCTATTTTCGTTTACATTTAGTGATGAATCAAATTTATCCTCAAACAATCTTCGGTAAGCTTGTTGTTTTTTTTATGAATTTGAATGAGATGTTTAATTCATTTAGACGACGTACCGGTTCTTATGTTCAACCTACAGGTTTGTAGTTTTTGAATTCTAACAAAAAAAAAAAGAAATTCAAATGTTGTTTTTCATAGAAATAGTTGAACAACCTTTATTAAGAGCTGGACATGAACTTGTGCCATTTAAAAAGAATTATTATCGTCCAAGACGAAATAATGCATTCTTCCTTTATGGATTCTTGATTCTCATTTTTGTTTTACAATTAATGTTAGGTCGAATTATTGTATCACGTATGATTTAAGAATTTTATCAAATGTAATAAAAATTCATTTTTATTTTTATATAGAACGATTACTAGTGAAAAAAGTGACGAAAGAGTTAGCTGAGACAAATCAACGTTTGAATAAAATAAAATTTGTTTCAAATGAAGATGTTGAAAAAAAGTTATCAAAAAAGGTCACAAAAAAAGAGACATATTAAGAAATGATTTTTATTTTTTATTTATCTTTTAGTTTGAAGAAAAATTTCAAAAATTGATTAGTCAAAAAATGATTGAATATAATAATGAAAAAACTTCATTGATTTTAAAAATCAATGAACTTTATCAAATAATAAATTTTACACAAGATAATTTAACAAATATGATTCATCAAGTAAACAAAAGAAATAGATTAGATTTTAATTTTAATTAGAATTTTATTTATAGTTATCAGATGAAAATGAACAATTAAAAAAACAAGTTACAGCATTAGAACATCGCGTACAATTAGTTGAAGAACAAAGTTCAATAGAAAAAGAAACATGTCCTGAAGGAGTTGATGTAAGTAAAATATCAAAAGGCCTACTTGTATCAACTCTAAAAGCTTTTTATTCTTTACAAATTCAGTGTACAAAATCATCTGCATCATCTTTGGATGTTCTACTTAGTAATTTAATCAAACAAACTGCTTCAATAGCAGAAAATACTTCAACAAATTTGTCTGATTTTTTTGAACATTTAAGTGCATCACTCAACGATCTTGTTAATCATGGACATGAATATATGGAACAAAGTAAACAAAAATTATCTGATTTTTCTGGTTCAGAAACAGCTGAACAAATTCAAATGACATTACGTCGTGGTGTTGAACATCTTTCGTCATCATTACGTAAAGCAAAATCGACATATGCTACATGGATTCGATCACGTGCACAATTTCGTGAACAAGCTCGAATGGATAATGCTGAACAAGAAGAAGAACAAATAGTTAATCGACATCCATGGCGTTGGACATTTCAACGTGGTCATGATCGCGAACAAATGCGTCATCAAACACCACCAACAAAAAAACATTCACCAAATAAAGAGCATGTTTGTCATTCACAATACGCATTTACGACCAAACATTTGTCATCAATGAAAAATTGGATGACAAAACTTTTTCGATAATAAACATTAAAATGAAGGAACATTTAAGAACTGATTTGTAATATTTTTTTTGTTTTTTTGCGTGTGTGTTTTCTCATTTTGTATTATTATCCAAAAAAACAACACCCAAGTGGCTTATATACTAATCTTTTTTTTAGTATTTCTCATGTAAATATAGCTATTTATATTTTACATTTTCTTTTCGTTTGTAAATATAAAACAATACCGGTACTTCTGTTTTCAGAGTAAAACTATTTTCTTTTTCACATATAAATATAAAAATAAAAACAAGATTATAATTATTGTGCTTTTTAGATGGCTACAACTAATGGAGCAGATGTAGATGATGATACATTTGACGCTGATGATGATCGATATGATACACTTGTGCTACCATCTGATGTACAAAAAGCAATTGATCAAGTGAGATCATTTGTTTTTCTAATGTTATATATTCCTGTTATTGCGTGCATCAAGAAAAGTCTGTAGAGAGTCATTTGAGTTCAACATAAGAAGTATCACGAGAGAAGTTTAAGCAGCAATCAGAAACGTAAAAAAGGAAAAAAATTTACGAAATTCAAAGACGGATGTGAGTGTGGTTCCTTCACGCACATTCAAATGGACTAAAGTGACTAGAAAGACTAAAATATTCTTACAGCTTTAAAATGTGTGTGCGCATAAAAGCAAAAATGGGACAAGTTTGATTTCTTGCGGATCCATAGATTCCATATGGTGAGTGTACACTGACACTAGTGTACTTCCATTGTATATTTGTTTGAACAACTATTATCGTATTATTTTTATTCATAATAAAGTTCAATAATTTTTTTGGTATTTTCAATCGAAGATCATCACCGACTAAAAGGAGTTTGATTGACTAAATCACTCTTATAAGTTCGATAATTTATTTTGTTTCTTTTTATGCGTATAGATATTGCCAAGTACAGATGAAATAGACCGAGCCGATTTTAATCCAGTTGATTATATAAATCAATTATTTCCAACTGAACAATCTTTAGCAAATATTGATGAAGTTATTGGAAGTGTGAAATCAAAGATACGTACATTGGACACTGATATTCGTTTTACTATACGTGGTCATTCTGATACAGAAATCGATGAACATAAAGCATTAGAAGAAGCACAAAATTCAATATCATTATTATTTCAACAAATGCGGGAGATTAAAGATAAAGCTGACAAATCAGAAGAAATGGTAAAAAATAAATTCATTAATTAATTGGTTCTTTTTTCTAAATCAAACGTTTTTCAAATTTTTAGGTTAAAGAAATAACACGAGATATAAAACAACTTGATGTTGCAAAAAAGAATCTTACAACTTCAATAACAACACTTAATCATTTACAAATGTTAATTGAAGGAATTGATAAAATTGAGTAAATAAAAAAAAAATTTCGTTTTGTTTTCCTGAAATATAATATTTCTTCTTTTGAATTTTAGAATTGCTATAAAAAAGAAATCCTATGGTGAAATAGCGAATTTACTTCATCCTGTTATAAGTGTATTAGAACATTTTCAACCATATATAAGCATTCCACAAATACAAGAAATATCTACAAAGTAAATACATTGAGAAAAAATACTTTTTATCAGTAACTTTTTTTTCAAACAATGAGATTTTTCATTATCTCTTCTTGAGTTCTTTTACATGATCTACACAATTCCTCGTCTGCATTAAGCATTTTGTTTTCATTGATCTAACAGACTAATGTATGATCAGAGTAATTAGCGAATAGAATGCATTTATCTGTAGAAAAACTACATACCAATTTAACCATATCGTTCTTCTCCAAATTGATGGCGTTCTATTCACTAATTAGTCTGACTGGCACAGCACATCAAAGAGTGTCGATGCTGTGATGTTGCTGATCTGGAAAAATACCAAACATATTGTGTTCTAGATTAATATCGTAATATACATATTTGTTTGCTTTGTACACTAATACTCGATTCTTCTCCAGGCCAGCAGAACTCTTAATTAATGTTCGTGTCAGACTTAAAGAATGATCGGTGTAACCTTAATAACTCTAAAATGGCAATAGTTAGCGACTTATAGTTTCCAGCAATAGAAAGAGAAGATCTTTTTTTTTTATAATATATGAGATAAAATCATTTTAAGACTCATCATCTTCTGAAAAAAACACAAAATGCATCAAAATGGTATTTCGTTTTGATGCAATTTTTATATGATCATTTGATACTGATACAGAAGAGACTTCAGATCTATAGTTCAAGGAACAATTTAGGATTTTATCTTCTCATACCTCAATGTTGAACAAGCGAAGTCGCGTATCTATTCAGTCAAATAATATAAACTCTTTTGATTTATAGTAAATTTTTGTACTTTTTATCAAAATTTTCTTGAAATAAAACATCGTTTTCATGTATTTCTTGGAGTGTTTTGTAAAGATGAAGGATTTAAAAATAATGTTGTCTCATATAGTACCAGACAAAAAAAAGTTCGAATTTCTGAAAATCGTAGGTCGCTAACTGTTACCATTGTCAAGTTATTGAGCTTACGCCCACTCCTCTTTAGTCCTGGCGTCAACATTAGTTAAACTGATTGACAGTGGGAAACACCACATAGTGAATGTAAGGGCATCAAAGAATGTCACAGTGAAGTTTTCGTCAACTTAGAGTAGCACGCACACTATATTGACAAATAATAACGTGCAAAAAATGCTAACAAAAATTGATGATCAAAAATACTATCACCTAATGATATTCCTTATACGAAAAAAAATTATCTCATTTAGTGTCAAAGAATTAACTGCTCAAATAACTGTACAAGTTCGAAAAGAATGTGAAGATGCATTTAATGGTCCAAATGCAAAAGTTCGTTATTCAATACGTTTTTCTTTCAGTACATTAAATCTACTCTTTTTTATATAGAATTTTACTCCAAGTCAACATTTTTCAGATGTATGTAAAATAATTGATGTTATTGATCCGAAATTAAGGTTTGCTATTTAAATATTTGATTGTTAGCATTCTGTATTTTTTATTTGTTCTCTTTAGATTAGAGGTAATAAATTGGTTTTTAAAAACACATCTATCTGAATATACAATATTATTTCAAGAATCTCAAGAAGTAATTATATAAAATAAAATAAAATTAGTTTCATTAAAATTATGCTTCCATTTCTTTATTTTGGTTTTTAGTTAGCATGGTTAGATAAAATTGATCGTCGATATGCTTGGTTAAAACGTGCACTTGTTGAATATGATGAAAAGTATTCACGAATATTTCCTGTTCATTGGGAAATGGCTGAACGTTTAACAGCTGAATTTTGTAAAATAACAAGGTAAGTTTCGTTAATTGTTTTTGTGTTTTAAAATACAATTAAAACTTTCTTTTTTTAATTTTAGACGTGAATTAGCAAATATAATGCTTAAACGTAAAAATGAAATTGATGTTAAATTATTACGATTTGCTATCGAGAAAACTGTTGGATTTGAAATCATTGTTGAAAAACGTTTTAACGGAAATACACTTGATTATGCAAATAATTCAATAACTAGACATCTTTATGGTAAATTTCATATCGATATTTCTAGAAAAAAAATAAATATACGATACATACTAAGTTTTTTCAACTAATTTATACAAATAGTAATGATCAGATCTCAAATTTATACTGTATGTAACGACTGATGTAGAATAAATAGATCACTTTTGTATTTGAGATGCTTCTAAGCAATCGAAAGAGTTTGTTTTAAGCTTATTCAATAGAAAACTGTCGATATAATTGATGGCGGATTATTTTTTTGAAACAATTTTATTGAAATTTCGAATACCATAACTAGATTCTTCATAAAAATGTTGTATCTTTTTATGTACATTTGAAAATTTCTAAAGATAAATAAACGAGAAGAGTTTGTAAGTTAAACAGTGTACACATTCAGAATAAAAATCACTTTATCCGACAGATCTTTGATATTGTTAAAGTTTACAATTTTCATGATTTAGTTCTGCGTTTGAACAATGTGAAAATAAACTTTTCAGATCGAAATTCTCGTTTTGAAAAATTCAATTTTCCTGAAAGCACTACTGCTTGTCAATTCGAAGCTTATTCCTGCTGAACTATAGCAGAAAAATATTTGAAAAGACTACAGAAACACGAAACATAACATTTTATATCAGCCCATCTCAAATATTTCACTGTGATGAGAAAAAAATAAGTAATTAATAAGGGAAATTAACAGCTTTGTGCAACTTTTACTTTTCTATGGAAGAAGCCTAAAACGAATCTTCAAAATTTCTTAGAAGTATGACAAAACTAAACTAACAAAATTGGCCAATTTATTCTGCGTTCTCCATTAGCTGAAGATATAGTGATACGATTATGAGTTTTATCTTTCTTCTTTCAACACAAGATTTATATAGTTTTCACTTTGTACTATATTCGTTAGAATATATTATTGAAGATGCAAAAAAAATTCTAAAACTTTAAAGAAATCTTATATCATGTTCGACCTGGTAACAGAGACACACTCGACATTTTATATAGATTTTTTCTGGTATGAATACAATCGAAAAATTTCAAATGATTATTTAGAAAGCCTGAGTATGAGTCTTTTTTTTTCCTTTAATTTTACTTTCAACGACGAATCATAAAACCGATTTTTCTCTTTCTTGAACAAATTGCTTTCAGTCGATGATTGAAATTTCTGTCAAAGTTAAACATCATTACATATGATATAAGTATAATATCTAATTCATATTCTATATACAATTCGATTGAAAAAAAACTAGATCTATCGTTTATTTTAATTCGATACTATGTAATATAAATATTTGTTTTTTATAGCTAAAGAAACAAATACCAATGGAAATAATGATAAAAATTTAACAAATCTTAAAGAAAAATCATCACCATTTCAAGGAATAATATCTCAATGTTTCGAAGATCATTTAGATATTTACATAGCCGAATTAGATCGGTAAATAACAAGATCATTCACATTTGTCTTTTTTTCTCTCTTATCTCTATATGATTCTTTGTTTATAGGAGTTTGGGTGATCAAATTCAAAAATTTGTTGATGAACTTAAAAAAGATGGCTATCCTAAATTTGAAGGTGGTGAAGATACAAGTAATGTTTTACCAACGAGTGCAGATTTATTTGTGTATTTTCGTAATTGTCTTGTACAATGTTCAAAATTAAGCACTGGACAACCATTATTATTACTTGTTCAAACGTTTCAAAAATATCTTCGAGAATATGCTAATCGAGTATTAACAGCTAATTTACCAAAGTAAAAATGTTTGTCCTTTTGTTTTTATTGTGTTTTTGTTTTTCTTTCAAAAAAAAAAGAACAAATACAACAGCATCATCTTTAGTTGGTACAGCAACAATATTTATACAAAATTTGCCAAATATTCCATCAATGTTAAAAGAAGGTGAAACAATAGCTAAACTAAATGAAGCAGAAATATGTCGATCATGTAGTGTTCTATGTACGGCTGAATATTGTGTTGAAACAATACAACAAGTAAAAACAAAAATATACAAAACGATCAAGTGAATGTTCTTTTATTTTGATTTTAGTTAGAAGATAAAATGAAAGAAAAAATAACAAAATCATTAGTTGATAAAATTTCATTTGAATCAGAAAGAAATATTTTTAAAGTGTATGTTTATTTTACAAAGAGTAAAATTATTAATTTATTTTCATATTCTTTTTATCTTATTTTTTTATATAGAATTATTGCTGAATCTATTCAAATACTTATTCAAGATCTTGAAAATGCGTGTGAACCCGCATTAACAGCAATGACTAAAGTTAGTTTTAGTTATATGAAAGAGAATTTTATGTCAAATTACGTATAATATGATAAAAATTCATATTTCATAGAATAAATCATAAGATATGAATAGAACTAGAATTTAATAAAAGTCAGCGAAACAATTGTTCAAGTAGATCGGTCCTAGAACTGAGCTGTTCGAAAAATTTTATACTGTTTTGGCAATGACATTTGAGTAATAGAACAAAAGTTTCTTTTTCTATCTTGAAATTCCTTTTTCAGAAATTCTTCAAACAGATCAGCTCATAAGAGAAGTAGGAACAATGAAACTCACTGTGACTCGATGCTTCATACAACAGACGACCTATTATCCCTTCTTCAAGACCTCCGAAATCCTATGTACCTCGCAACGATAATATCTTATTTCTATTTCACTTCGTGCTAGCAAAAGGCAAATGGTATTTCAAAATTCGGTTTCTATCCAAAGTTATCACGAAGCTGTAAAAAATTAGTTGAATGTACTACAAATTTTCTGAATACGTTGGATATTTTGCAGAGGGAAGAAAATCCTGTTCCACATAATCGAAAATCCTGTTTGTAATCCATATCATCGAAACTGAACTATCAGTTAGATTTTTAGGCATATTGTTCAACAGTTCATATGAGAAAAAGTAGAATTTTAGTAGGATATTGACTATCCTGATATAATTTTTTCTAGTTATCTTGGCAAACTATTGAAACGGTTGGTGATCAATCATTATATGTAACAACAATTATTAATCATTTAAAAACAATTGTTCCTGTGATACGTAATCATTTAGGATCATCAAGAAAATATTTCATACAATTCTGTACAACATTTGTTGAGTTAGTTTTATCTTGAATATTTTTTAAAATGTTATGACATAATTTCTTTTAGTTCATTTATTAAAAAATTCATCAATCATTTATATCGTTGTAAACCAATAAATATGATTGGTGCTGAACAACTTTTACTTGATACACATTCATTAAAAACAGTTCTTCTTGATTTACCATCGATTAATTTAACTGTTTCCAGAAAACCACCACAGAAGTAAATTTTATTATTTTAAGTTCAATGTTTCTGTTTTTCTACTACATTTTTTTGTTTTCTCTTTTAGTTTTACAAAAATTGTTCTAAAAAATATGACACGTGCTGAAATGATCTTAAAAGTTGTTCTTACACCATATGATTCTGCTAGGCAATTTGTTAAAAATTATTTACAATTAATGAATAATGATGGAGACATAAGTTCTTTTCAGAAAGTACTTGATATGAAAGGTATTCGAAAACCTGAACAAGCTCATTTAATTGAACGTCTTAAGAGAGAACACGCAGCTATTATTGCTAGTCATCAACAGCAAATACAACAACAGTGATTGCTTGTTTGTTTGTTTGTTTATTTTTCGTTTGTCTGAATATTCCTATATTTTTAATGTAACTTTTTCTGATTTCTTTAACAACAAGATGCGTCTAATTTAGTTGTATAATTTTCATCGAAATATTAATTCGATTATTTGTTCCAGACCGTAGCAGACGAAAAAAAACTGTTTCCAAATAAATTTGTAATCAATTTAACAAAAAGTCAATTTACAATTGAGCATTCATTTTAACAAGTGGATATATTTTATAAAATAATGAAGGAACTTGTATGAATGTAATTCATACAAAAAATCTGAATATAATCATTGATACATTTGTGAATCCGACGCCAATCTGTAGAGGAGTGATGGGAGCTAGTATAATATATTCAAAAACTTTTTTTCTAAACTAATGATCGCATGTTCGACTAGAAGTTGTTTTGTCCAATGGGCTGGGCATAATATTCATGCTTTAGAGTATACATATCATATTTCATATTTATCTCATGTTGTATACTATTTATCAAATGGTTAAATTAATGATATGATCGACAATATAGATGTAAAATAATGAATACCTATATATGCATGAATATACTCTAATCTTAAAGACAATCAGCAGCTCTAAGTTCATAAATTGCTTGAATTTAATTTTAACTGGTTTGTGAAGACAAATATAAAATAGTACAGAAAAACTGATCATCATAAGCAAGAATTATATTAAAACTTTTTCAAGTCTCATAAAATGATTTGAAAACATCATGATTGGTATGTATTTAATTCTCTAAGATATTTGTAATAATGAGATAATTGAAAAAATCAGTTGTAATTAGACTTGCACCAAAACTCAATAACAGAATATGAATATTTCAAATTATTTCATCAATAATGAACTAAATCAATAAACTGTCATGGCACAAATATAGAAAGATGTGCGTTTTTGATAACCAAATGAAAAATGATCTAATGAATCGTTTGATTTAATAAGAAATTCAAAAGAAACTGAAAAACAGCCTAAACCCAAACTGATGGGGTTTGAATGTTTTGATTGACTCTGGCACGTGATCTAACAATGTTGCCAAATTCTTTCTTTTGACATTCTAGTATCAGTTTCTTACTTCAATCATCCACTGATGGGAAAATGTTGCGCCCACATACTTCAGCACATAAGAGCATTTTTCGTCATTTAGGCAAAAATGACTCAAACGATTTGGACTTTTGCCTAGTTGTAATGAAAAAATACCTAAGTTCGTGTGAAAATTGTAAATTCCAATTAAAATATGTGGAAGTGTCAAGAAGCTTATCGAAGATAGTAAAATGTTTTACAAGTTTCCTACACTCCGTTTACTGCTAGAGTCCAACTAATTCTTAATAATGTGGAGAATTTTTACATCTTTTCATAATTCTCTCGACTTTTACGTTCAGGATGATGTTAATCTTAGTGAATATCAATTATACGAAAGTTGAAACCACTTACTAGCGACCTCTTTCGATAAATCAACTATTGCATCGCATTGATATGATCTTTGAAGATCTGACGTGGATAACGCAAAGTTATTCTTTAATTTTTTTTCTATATGATTTTCCTATTGAAGGACTTATTATTATTGGTTAACCATATTTTACACCAAATGAATGATAATTATCTATTCATTTAATATCATAGACATGACAACGAATTGGATAAATTTGATTAGTTCTTACAACGCAACCTTATGTAGATTTTGTGGAAAATGGCTCAAGTGCTCGATGTATATTTGAGTAAATCAGTAAATATAGCTACATCTGATTGACACGTTATAATTGAAACATTATGTGGCTTTGATCAAGCTATAAATATAATATGAGATGATAGTCATGAACGCGTATTGTCTTCAACAGAAAATGTAAAGCAAATTCTTCTTAGTCTTTATACAAATATTGATTTTTCTAGAATTCGTGCTGACTCATTACAAGTAGCTAAAATATAATTTTTCCCTTCACTATACTTTGATTATTATTATTATTATTATTATTATTTGTTGTTGTTGTCAGATGATTGGGTATCGGTATGAAATTTAAGTATTTTCTTTTCTTAATTCTTTTCATATGATTGAAGAGAGTTCGTAAGAGGATATCTCATTTGATTTATCAACAGAAGATATGAAAAAAAAACAAGTTTTACTTTTACAGCTAATATAATTTAGAATTAAAAATCACTTTCGATTTTGTAGATGTTATTAAATAAAACACCAAAAATTTTAATTAGTATTATTATATTTCGTTTACTTTCTTGGTTAATCGTACGAACGTATTTTATTGCTGATGAATATTGGCAAACATTCGAAATAGCTCATTCACTCGCTTTTGGTTATGGTTATAAAACATGGGAATGGAAATCAAATATTGCTATAAGAAGTTATCTTTATCCATTTATTATATCATTAATTTATCGATTTTTAGCTCTTTTTCATCTTGATACTGTAACAATATTAGTTAATTCAGCAACATTATTTCAAACAGTATTGGCTATTATTGGCGATATAGCTTATGTTAAATTTCTCCAAGGTCATAAATTAATATTTTTAATTCTTTTATGTCGATTTACATGTTGGTATACAATGTATTCATCACCAAGATTAATTGTTAATAATTTAGAAGAAATACTTTTTATTTGTAGTCTTGCTGCTGCTAAAAAGTAAGAGAATTGATTGTTACCTGTAGTAGTACTTATCACTTTTTTAAATCGTATTGTTATATTTTAACTAAATATTAAAAAATACGTACAAATATGAAAAATTCTTTTAATCAAGCCAAAAGACGTAGAAAATGTTTAAACAAAATTTGATACATTTCGAGATATCTTATAAATTGAATAAATATTTAATGTTAGTATCGTTGATTTTAATATTAATAAAATTTCGTTTAAGTGAGAACATGAGCAAAATTTTCGATTAGATAAATGAAATAATTTTCGGAAGCGGCCAAAAGTGTACATCTAAGGGAAGCTTTCAGTTTCTTTTCTTGCAACGTTATAAGTATTCAGTTGTAATCGCTTTTTGATTGTACAAAGTGATCTTTCTCTTTTTTCCAACAATTAATTAATTCAACTTTTTTTAATCAGAAGCAAATCAACATGTTTTGACATGATTTTATGTTACTAGCTATTAACACAATGCCCTGTTTCTATATGTCCCATAATTGCTTACCATAAGGAAATACACATAACGTCATTATTTTTTTATTCTGCTTGTGAGTGCTAGAACATATGTTACTCACATTACAGAGATTGTTATTGCTTAATGGATCAGAAATAAGTGTTCATTGTTCAGAATAAAGAGATGCTCGTATTTGCGAGACTAATTGTTAGCAACATTCACGTGGATGGATTAGAGTTTTCGATATTTTTTAGGAGTGAAAGGGACTGAAAATTTAGCAGAAAGTACTTTTATCATCGGAGTACCAGAAGTGATGATCGAAAGGAGAAACAATGAAATCCATCGTGACTCGGCTCCTCGCACAACATACAATCTTACTTTGTGCCAAAGAAAGGCAAATGATGTTTCAAAATCCAGTTTCTACCCAAAATTACTATGAGGCTGTAAAGAGCTGGAAGAAAGCTGAACATTTGCGAAGAGTAAAGCCGCTCCTCACCTAAGCGACAATCATGGAGTGAACTATAGTTGCCTAGTATAAGGAGATACTCACATAAAGAGGTGTTATTGTATCTCCCAATTGATCAGAAGTTTTAATCTCTCCACACATTATTTTACTCTAGAATTTCATTTCTGTAAGTGCGCTATCTATATTTTTCAAATCTTGCTGATAGATCTTCTATAAATTTTGCTATGAAAAGTATATTTGATAATTTCAATTGATACGTTCATTTTTTGTTTATTTTCTACATAGTTATCGATCATCATCTAACATTACGTTTCATTTATTTGTTTCATTATCATTTATAATTCGTCCAACATCAGCTATTCCATTTGTTATTATTTACCCATATTTATTATATAAAACTTCAAATCGTTTAAAATTTCTTTTTCAAGCATTTCTATGTTTTATTCTATTAAATGTATTTAATATACTCTTAGATAGTTATATGTATAATCGTTGGACAATTGTACCATTAAATTTTTTATATATAAATTTTTTTCATCCAAATTCAATATCATCACATTATGGTATAAATAATATTTTATGGTATTTAACAAATGGTCTTCCAATGATATTTTTTTATCGTTTGCCATTTATTTTTCTTGGTTCTATATCAAATAAACGTTTAACAATAATAATTTTATTTACAATATTTATATATACATTAAATAAACATAAAGAATTTCGATTTTTAACACAAATTCTACCAATATTATTTATATTAGAAGCACATGGTATCGATTGGTGTTCAAAAAAATTGAAATGGAGTAAATTTCGATGGATTATATTTCTTTCATTTATTGGACATTTATTTATTGGACTGTATTTTTCATTAATTGATCGTCAAGGACAAATATCAGTTATGCATTATTTACGGAAAAATTTAATTAATAATAATAATAATAATAAAGAAATTTTTTCAATCGATTTTCTTATGCCATGTCATTCAACACCATATTATAATTTTATTCATCGAAATGATATTCAATTAAATTTTTTAACATGTGAACCCAATTTAAATAATATAATAAATGATTATATTGATGAAGCTGATCAATTCTTTTTAAAACCAATTGAATCATTAAAACAACGATTAAATAATTCTAATTCTAGTCATTTAGTTATGTTTGATATATTATATAATCAAGTAAAAGATGTATTTGAAGAAGATCAATGGTTTTTTGTGAAAGATATTCTATTCAATTCACATATTCAACATACATCAAGACATGGAAAAATGATTTATTTTCTTGAAAGAAGATAAAAACAAAATTACCTTACAAACATTAAATTTATGAAATTTATTATTATCAATTAAGGGAGATGGTTATTTAAGGGAGATGGGAATCTCAATGTTAGTTTGGGGGAAAAGGGAGATTATATGTTAGATAAAAAAATTTTATTCAAATGTAATAAACGAATATAGACTTTATAAAACGTATAGATGAAATGCTATCAGTGAAATTGAAATGTGAAAAATGATAAAGATAATTTTATTTTAAATCAAATGAATTTGGCAATATCCATATCAATTTGTGTACAAATCAATCAAATGATGCTCTTGATGTATGAGCTACTATATCTCATGATAATATAGGTGTTACATATGATGTGTCACGAAAGAATGAATAATGAATATTTCTATTCAGACTAGCCTTAGTTATTACGAGCTGCTAACGACAGAGCGTAGTCTAACTTTCGCATGGTAAAATTCAACTCTTATCAAGTATCATAGGTTGAAAAAAACTTTCTTGTGTAACTTAAGAATTTTGTAAAACTTTGTCGATTTTTAATTGATATTGAAGTTTAAGAGAAATCTAGAAGGATTATAGATAGACAGTAAACTTACAATCAGCTTATTGTTTTTAAATTTTTAGGACTTTAATGAATTTCAAAATAAACACCATAGGGATGTTAAAGCGAATGATTTTTTTCAGTATCTATCACATATTGATTGCCATTTCTTTATATAATACTATATCTTGTACTTTATTTTCCATGTTCAATAAAAAATTTCAAAACTTACTCAACTCTTATTTTTGTTTTAACACTCAACAATTAACGTGAATGAAAATGTTTTTTTGTTTGTCTTTTATTTTTTTTAATTGTAAGTGATATATTTTTCTTTAGAGAATTATTGGAGAAACAAAAACTAAGATAGATTTACATTAGAGAAAGAGTAATATAGTTCTTAACCAAAGATAATTTAATTTAATCATGAACTACTTCATCAACAACAATAGCTAAAGCTAATATAAATGGTACATCTTGACCTTGTTCTATTTTAACACCATATTTGTCACCAATTGCAAAGAATTTCTTTGAAATAGTAGCAATAATTTTATGATCTTTTTTTATTGTAAATTCACGTGAACTAAAATCACCTTCAATTTTAAAGTCACCATATTTTGAAGTAATTTTAAATTTTTTACCACCAAAAAGATTCATTTGACGTCTAAAATCAATATATTACATTTGAAAAATTTTTTTCAAGTATAAACATACTTTACATCAGCAATAACATCATTATTTTGACGAATTTCATATTTAGCTAAACCAAGTGGATTAAGAACATGTTTAACTAAATTATTAAAAAAAAAAATAAATAATAAAATCAATTATATTATATTTCTTACTAGCATAATATTCCTTTTGACCGGAAATGTCAGTTAATTGAAGGTGTTTACCGAGGCCTATTTTTTTAAAACCAATCTTAATAAACAAATCAGATAAACGTTTTAAGAATTAATATAAAATTTTACTTTATAAACAGATTGACCATGATCATCTTTGACTGTATACGATGAACCAAGTGTGAGAACTTTTTGTTTAAGTTCATATTTAGTTGTATTTTTAATTTTGTTTGATAGAAAAAGTCCAGAGACATTAACAAACAATATTAATTGTAGGGTAATTAATTGTGAACAAAGACGAACCATGATAAAATGTGTCGCAAAAATCTAGTTATAGAAGGTTCTAAATAATAATTGTTACTGGCTATGATAAATCAATAAATTTCAATGTGTCGAACGAGCACTATTATAGATCTTATCTATTTTCTAGACGAAAACGAAAAAGAGAGAAAATTTATTTTGACTAGTATGCGTTTCTTAGTCATGTATTTCTATTACTATCCATTTACGTCGGGAATTATCAACAAGAAGAAAGATATCACAAATACATTTATTTTAAAGTGTCATTTTCTTGTTCGATGTATGAAAAGTAAAGACAGACATGTGTACTTTATAATATCAAATAGACGAATGTCTTCGACGTGTCAAGCAATGTGTTATTCAGTTCATGATCAGACAGCTTACATTCAATAAATGCATAAGGTCAACTTTTGTCAACTTGAATAGAAAAAAAAAAGTCGAATAAATTCATTCTATAAAAGGTGCACGAGACATAAAAGAATTTATATTCTATCAATCTCAAACTAATACTATATGTTCATAGCAAATGATAAAAACAAATACATAAAACAAAAAAGAACAGAAAATCTATTTATGATCAGCTAATTTTTGTGTCCATTTTTTGACAAGCCAACGCATTCGAATCATAGCAATAACAACTTGAGCATAGCAGCGAAAACGAAATCGATAATCAACAAAACGTCGATGAAATGGTTGTTTACGAATAAATTTCATTTTATCATAATTATATGTATAAGGATAGGAATTTGATTTAGTATCACCAGTTAAACGTCGAATTTCATGTAATGCATAAGTTTCTGTATCTTCATAACCAGTCAATAAAACAAGTAAGTAACGTTTTTGATATACTAAAGCTTTTCGATGATTTTCACAACGCATATATTTAAAATAAAATTTATTTGATGTTGGTTGATTTTGTGTTTGTCTTAATTGATCAAATTTAATTTTTAAATAATTTAATTGTTCTTTTGTTTGTTCAAGTTCATTAATTAATACAAGACGATCTTCAGAAAAAAAATTTCCTAATGCATCACGTTGATAATTACACATATCATGAATTTCTTGTTCAAGTTGAACAGCATTTGGATGTTGACGAATTTGTATTAAACGACGATCTTGTTCACAACGAAATATATCAGCAAGACATTTTATTAATTTATTGCTTGTTTCATTTGCATTCATATTAGCAATTAGTGAACGAAGCAATGAATTTTCTTCATTTAATTTTTGTAATGAACGTATAGAATCTTCTGTTGCATTAATATTAATACCATTTAATCGTAATGCGAGAAGTTCACTTAATGATAATACATGTACACCTGACAACAAAAAAATGACATCATTTTTTTTTGTATTAATTAAGAAACTCGTATAAATATATTTCTAGTACCTTCTGTAATGTAGAAGAATCAAAGAGTTTCGAGAAAACTTATTTTTCGATTCTCACGACATTGCTCGGACGTAAAAATATCGAAAACTCAAGATCTTGTTGACCACATATCTTGCCATCACTCTTATTGCTATGCGTTGTGGATGTGTGTTGTATTATATTCTATTTGTTAAAACTTCACAAAAGTCTTCCATCTATGATTTACAGAAATGTCGAAATTTCAACGTTTTTCTTATTAAAGTTGATTTCACCTAATTTTAACTAGCAACTCATTTTGTTGTTAAAGCAAGAATTAATATCAGTGTCGTAGATTTTTTTCTTTACTAATAGGAAAATTTGTAAATATCATACCTAGTGTTTGAATTCATCTTTTAAGCCAAACCGGAATAACGATAAGAAAAATTTCGATGATTGGTCTGAATTATAATCCTTTAATAGGATTTATATCTTTTAGTATTACTTTCCTTGCACAATTAAATCAATAACTGTCGATTTAAAATCATTGTCCATCTTAAGATATTAAATTATATAATCGACTATATTCGAGAAAATTTTACAAAAGTAAAAATTTTGTGAATTGAACATTTTAAAAAGAATGCATTTATGTTATCTGAAATTTTCATAACATATTACTGACTCCGAAATCTTGAGAAAAACAACAGTTTGAATTGAAATTCATTTGTTTTCGTTGTGCAATGAAAGCGATTTTCTTCATCTTCTATTTGTACTAAAGAGATGAGTTAACAAAATGAAGTGTTATCTACAAAGATCTTTTGTGTACATTGAAACAAAACATGATAATATTGTTTTCTTTTTGCTTTTTACGAAAACAAAAGTAAATACTCAAGTTATTTCAGTGTATTTAAATGTACTACTAAAGACTTCAATTACAATATACACATATATGAATGGGTATCTTTTCAAAGGTTTCATCGTTCTTGTTTTTCTTTTTATGTATAGTTTAGTTAGAACTGCATACATGATTATACAATCAAAATTCAAGAATCAATAATTTACTAAACATCAATTTATTCTCATGAAATTTTCTTTTACCTTCAGTATGTAATTTGTTGACAAGTCGTTTAAGTTCATCACTATCAGTTGATTGTTGTAATAAGAATTGTCGACGTTCATCCTCATTACGATCAAATTCTTGAGCAAGACGTACTTGTTCACGAACTTTTTCACCAATGCTATGATCGAGACCAAGACTACTGGAACTTAAATTATGTAATTGTTGTTGTTGTTCAAATAAACGAGCTCGATATTCAGAAAATTGATATTCATATTCACGTTTCAATTGTATTTTTATTTCTAAATAAATAAAAAAATAAAAATTTTTGTTTTTCTTGTTTTTGATATTTAATCTGTGCTTCTCACAATTTATTTACCTGTTATTTTCTCTTTAATTTCATGTTCATAATGAAGACGTATACGTTCTAGTTCAAGTTCATGTTCAAATTGTAAGGTTTCACAGCGTAATTTCCAATCGATTGGTGTTGTTCGTGGTGATATAGACATACGTGTTGTTGCCGTTTCAAGTTCAGGCACTTGTTGTCGACGTGGTGAAGTCATTTGAGAAAGGATTTTTTTTCTAATGTAAAATGAAAAGAAACTATTGGTTGTCTTGACAGTTCATGTTGGCTCATCATGGTGTACACCTACTTTTGTTCTGTTAAAATTTAATGTGGTTTTTTTATCCTATTTTCTTTTCTCAGTTGTGTGTTTGCGTTCTTGCAACCAGCAAGCACAACAATCGCATTAGTTTTCTTTTGAATAGTCATTCATTTTTCTTTTTTTTTCTCTTTTACGTGATTGCTTAACTATTTCTTTCTTATTCGTCCTGTTGCTGAGAAGATTCTGCATGACAACAAAAGACAAAATAAAAAAGAAATCATTCTAGTTGTCAGATTCGAGGCAATGTGAAAGGGCATAAATTTAATAGAAAAAAAAGTGATTGACAAGCACAAAAGCACATACTCGTTTTAACTGCTATTATAATATTTGCATGTTCAATTTAAACGAAGAAAGAGTTATGATTTCCAGTTGCCTTTTAATACTGACATTTTTTTCTAATAAACGTCGACAAAACGTCAACAACACTAATCAAGATGGAATCGAAACGTTTAGCAGCTCGTTCTATGCTTCAACGTGTTGTAAATCTAACAAAACATGCTCATGATTTTCAATCATCTGTAAATGTACCAATTCCATCTTGGTATAATCATTCGTATCGTCGAGGAAGTGTAAATTTCGATCAAGCTCAAGGATTAAATCCTACTGATATTAATCAAAATCCACCAACATCCAGATATATTCTTGGTCCTCATCGAAAATTTGATTTTTCACGTGCACAAAAACTACTTCAATTTGAATTTAATCGTCAATGTGCTGCTGCTACGTCAAAATTAATTCGATATGATCCAAAAATATGTCTAGAACTGGCTCAAGATTTATCACAACAATTACGTCGTCTTATGAAACCTGATGTATTAAATAGCACTCGATATAAAATTATTGTACTCGTTACTATTGTACAAACAGTACCGAATCGACAACAACATCAATCATTGGCTATTGTATCAAGATGTTTATGGAATCATGAAACCGATGGATCAATAACTCTGCAAGCACGATTAGGATATGATATGCTTGCTATTACAACTGTTTTTGCAGTTTATACAGACTAACATTAAAAATAAAAGCTTTGTTTCCTTATTACAGACAAACAATATAAATATTAAACATAATTTCTAATAAAATTTTGACAAGAACAGCGATTTCGATTAGGAAGGGTAGTCTTCTCAAATCTCAAACTTTCTGTCAATTTAGTGTACACATTCGTGGTAACTTTGGATAGAGAGCAAGTTTTGAAACGCTATTTACCTTCTTCAAATAAAAACAAGCAGGCCCCGGGAAAAGAACGACCTGGTAGTAGGTCGTTCGTGGTAAGAGACCGAACGGATCATGATGGATTTCGCTGTTTCATGTTTCGGTCACCATTTCTAGAACTTCGATAATGAAAGCACTTTCTGCTAAATTTTAGTCTCTCGTACTCCTAAAAAATATCGACAACATTCGAGAAGAATGCTATTCAATTCGAAGGGTGTAAGTATTAATAAACAGTAGAGAAAAACCTAGGCATAATATGAAAAACATATGGTATTACAGTGCATATGAAATCAATTTCATATAAATCATTTTTCATATGAATAACAGTTTTTTTTTGTTGTTAATCAATAACGGAATGACATACAGTTTGTCTCATTCATATATATACAACAATGTTGATCATATATATAAATCATATTAAGGTCAAGATCCAATACAAATATTTTTTTTTCATTCTGAATTAAATTTGATTCATGATTAGTAATAGAATGTATCGTTTAAATATACTTTCTTTTTTTTATTCTTTTACTCAGATTTTATATTAAATCTTAAATTTATTTTTCTATTTTTTATGTCAATATAATCACATTTTACTTATCAGATAGAATAAAAACGAAATAGTCATTCGCTTTTTTAGATGCTTGTAATTTACAACTGTCTTTAGTCTTTATTTATTTCTGTCTTTTATTTCTTGCTCTCTTTCGTTTTCTTTTTTCACAGAATTGTAACGAACATCTGGCGCAATCGTTACAACGTGTCATTGGCATTGGCTGCAAAGAAATAAAAAAAAGAGAGCAATACGAAGCCAAGTAATATAACGATAAAGAAATACAATTATTTAGACGACTATTGTCTGTATACTTAACAATGAGCGATATTGATGATATCAATGAAATCTTTCGAATAGTCGATTCAGATGGAAGTGGTTATCTTAATAAAGAAAAACTTCAACATATATGTCCACATTTATCTCCATCTGAAATTGATATCATATTTAATGATCTTGATACAGATCATGACAATCGTGTAAGTTTAAAAGAATTTACAAATGGTTTTAAAGAACTTATTAAACCCGATGATAATGATCGTTTATTACATAAAAAAAAATTAATTAATTATGACAATGCTATCGATAAAGATGAGGAAGATTTAACAACAGACATGGCACAAGTACAGATCAATGAAGTATTCAATAATTTATCATGGTATGAAAAAAAAACAATAATCATTTTTCAGACGGTTTATTGACTAATACGATTATATATAGAACATTTTTATAAGGAGAAACTTTCTCATAAAGATAAGTTATGATTAAGGTATTATCAATATATTTACATAATAGAATATTTAAAAAAAATTGTTCTTCATACTATTGGAGGACAAATTAACACTTGTCATATATCAATAATCGTTTTTTCGTTTCTTTTTTTAAACGACAATCAACTTCAAATAACTTCACCTGTGCGAAAAGAAAATAAGTCGAATTATGTCGACTAGCTAAAAGAGTACCGATCTGTTTGCATAAACACTACTGTGTACGAAGTGATGCACATTTACAATAAGAGAGAAGGGAAAAGAGAGAAGGAGGAGGAGGAGAAAAACCAGTAGACATAAAAATAATCGCAACGACAACGACATAGACAAACGACTCGTGTTTTATTCCCATCAAAAACTATAGGTTTTCTTTTTAAATATTAACAATTTCGATTGATCAAAATCGTATGATGGATGTAATTGATGCTAACGGCATTACTGAAAATATCTTTTCTAAGTAAGTAGATGGGGATATGTTTTTCTCGATTGAATAGATTCTCTGAAGTCAGAAAAAAAAACAAGAAGAAAATAAGGCACCATTTGGTTCTAGTCAAAAGAAGAGCAGCCTAGTACTAGTTCGAAATTTTGTTAGAAAAATCAGTCAAATAAATAATCAACAAACTTGACATGTGTTTTAAATAGACTTTCAATAGAGAAAAGAAAAACATGACTTTAATCGATGAGATTAGTAAACAAAAGGCATTATCATTAAATACTTTTCTTCAACAAAGAAATTTATCTATTCAAATGATTGGTAATTTTGATTTGTGAGTTGTAATTTATCGAAAATAAATTGAATTTATTTCATTTTTTTTTTCTTCGTTTTTTAGTCAAGAACAAATTTATGATTTTTATGAAACATTACGAAATGGATCAAGTGAATCTATAGAACAATTTCAATCAATTCTTGAAGTATTTGTTTGTGATATAATCAAATATCGTAAAGAAATTAGACGATTAGAAGATTCTTATAAACGGTAATTAATCAAATAGAATATTTCGAATAAATTCTTTTTGTATAAATGTATAGAGAAAAAGAAATGAATGAAAAATATTTAAGACGTATTGAAGAAGATCAAGAACGTGAAATGCATCAATTAGAAGCAAAAATTCGTAAAGAAGTAAATTTTTATCTATTTTTATATAATCTTAAAAAAGAAAAAACGGAATTCTTCTCAATAGGAACAACAAAAATTTGAATCTGAACGAGAATTAATTCAACAACGTGCATCAAAAAAGATAGCTGATCTACAAGCAAATCTTCAACGTTTACAAGCTGTAAATTCACTTTTTTTGTTTTATCTCCTTAAGAGACAAATAATATCTGTCTTTTTTTTTGGTTTATTTAGATTGAAAAATGTTATCTTGATCGTCAGTCAAGTGAAGATTCATCGATAGTTTTATTACGCGAAGAAATTTCTAAATTAACACAAGAAAATCAAACACTTAATTCATCATTAAATGATTCATTAACTACAATTGCAATATTAAAAAGTGATTTACAATCATTTAAAACTCAATTAAATGAACATCAAACAATGCTTTTACAGTATGAAAATATTCTCTCATAGATAAAAATAAAAAGTTAAAAAGAATCAAACTACATATATTTCTCATATTCAACATCCATACTCAAAGGGTATTCCGAGCTCACCAAGATTGGAGAGAAATTGACTCTTATTGCAGAGATTGAGGAGTAAGAAAATCGTTCAGTTTCACTAGGAGATCACCTTCCATTCGATATGCCACTACGTATGCTCCCTAAGTATCCTAGAATACTGTACAAAGATCGATTTGATTTCTTTGTTTTTTATATTTATCTAGTTTTACCGTTGTTTTTTGAAGTAGACAAGAATGAGATTAAAAACAATAGCACGGGAGTCGAAGTGTACACTAAGCACAATCAGAAAATTAATATTTAACTACAATTCAATAAAACAGAAAAGTTATGATAGACTACTTGATCATTCCACGTACACCTGAAAATAGAAGTATGAAACACATATATCTATTTTTTTCGGAAAATGCTTAAGCTAAAGTATTCAGATATTGGGTATAAAATCTGTACGTGATCGATTCTTTGAACCTGAACTAGAGCAAATACTCGAATTCAAACAATAAGTTAACCCTAACATAAAAATTCTATAGGCAGAATATTTAAATTCTGCAGCCAACATACTATTTAGAATAAAAAAACAATCCATTTTCATATGATCTCTCTATGACGACGAAAACAGGCATGAGTAGTTTGATTTTTAAAAATGTTGTTTTGTCTGGAGGAGATTAAATTGTAATATAAAATAAATATTTTATTTAGAGAAAAACAAGTATCATCAAATAATTATCATGAAAAAGAATCATTACAATCAAATGTTCGTCAACTTGTGTATGTAAAATAAACAATAATTATTTTGAAATTTTTTTTATTCTTTGATTGTTTTTCTCTTATAGAGAAGTCAATAAAAATCTTCGTGATGAAAATGACGCATTACGTGCTATGATAGAATCAAATAAAGTCAATGTTTCTTCTTCTGATGTTCGTATTTCATTAAAATATTTTTACGAAGAAAAAAAAAACACGATTTTCTCTTGTCTTTATTGTAGATACCTCTAATATCAAAAAGATCAATGTCTCGAAGTGGATCAATTCTTGAAAATTATTGGAATAATCATCATCCAAAAATTGAACAGTATGTTTATATCATACAACTTATCTATTGCAGAAGAATTTGACTTTTATGAGAGCTATCGATTATGAAAATTATCATACCAAAAGTGTCGATATTCGAATGTACTATAATTTTGATAGAATAAGAAATGATAAGTATTTTATGTACATTAAGTTTTTCTATTTCTATTTGATTCGTTACAATTGATGATTTCGAACGAGTTCAGATCAGTTTTTAACAGTACAATCATGAGTTACACATTAAGGCTCAGTATAGACTGGACTGAGGATATACAAAAATAACTCATGATTTTTCCTTCACAAAAAAACGGTCTAGCGCATGCACCGTCCATCTAGCAAAAAAATTTCCCAAAGATAATTTGACTTGCTATTCTGGTCAAGTTTATTTATCATCATTAACATTCTTTTATTATGCAAATTTAACTAAACTTTGTTTGCGAAAAAGGAGAACAAGGCAAAAACATTTTGTAAAATAAAAAGAAAGATTTTCGAGGCACTAGTAGGATACATCGATACTACGTGCGTCAACATAAATTTTGTAGAGTGCGAGTGTGGGTCCGTGTTGATGTAAGTGTGAACTTATATCTCATGAGGCACATGTACTAACGCCCACACCAACACTCACACTCGTAATATCTTAACTAGTCACTTAGAAAAAATTTTAGACGTCATTTATGTCGACACTATTCGTGTCGACTTATTCTACTAGTACCGTTTTTCAATTTGAGTAAAAAAATAAATTGGTTTTAACAATTTACCAACAACAAAATGCTTATTAGATCGATACAAGGCAGATGAATTCTAGTAGACGGACTAAACTAGTGACGTACTTAAGTCAATCGAATTTGTCAGTTTGTGTCGATGACTAGAAATATGTCTAGCTTTTCTTTGTTCTCTTTTGTATATTTATTCAGTCTTTATTACATAAATAAATCAATCCCAGAAAGGATCACATAAGATTTTGTGTTTTATTCAAAATTCTGTCCTTAGACTATTATTAATCTATGCGTCGAAGCTCGTGACCTCTGTAGGAAAAAAAAACATCTGACTTCCATCGTTTTTTTCTGATTAATAAATCGAATATTGGTATTTTATTGATTTTAATCCATTGAAACATGTCTATAAAAAAAATCAGTGTTAATTATTCGAAAATAATTAATAGATCAAAATTTAATGAAATTTGACTATAAAGTTAAAAAAACATTTTGAAGTACAATTTGTATGTTAAAGATTTGTCTAGTATCCATACTTACCGGCAATTTTAACTAATTTTTAATCATACAAGAAAGATTGATTTAAATCAGATTTTCTCGGTGTTTTTCTTTATATGGATACCAATTACAAAATAGAATCAGCTCAATTCATTACGAGCCCTATTAAAAAGGTCTCCATCATTTTATAAATATCTCAATGACAGGTAGATCAACAACTTTTACACCGTAGAATGTCGTAAAGTTAGAAGTTTTATAAAGATCTCCAACGAAACGATTTCTTGACATTTATTAAATTTTGATTTTATATAAATTAGTGCATCATCATCATATGTGTCAACAGCTCAACAACAACCTCATCTTGCAAAACTTGATTCATTCGATGTCGAATCAACTGATGAACTAGGTATAAATGGAAACAAATCTTCATCTAAATTTAAATTAGATGTTGCTGATATTTCGTCACAAAAAAAATTACCAGCAACAACAAGTTTATTTTCTTCTGATAATGCTCATAGAAACAATACTCTGAATGGTTTGTTTTTGCATGTGAATATGGTATCGAAAAATGTCTCTATGATTTATTGGGAAAGCAAAAAGCCTTCTTTCATTCTTCAAGCTTTAGCCTAATTAAATTTCTTCATATATAATTATATATCATAATAATCAATAGTTGATATTATTTTTCAATTTGATTTAAATAGATAGTGGTTTATCATTAACAACTGTACGTGATGCAACTGAACTTGAATCAGATCGTGATCTACAATCTAATAAACAAATATTAAGAAATTCCAAACCATATCGATCAATGCCAATGAAACGAAATAATGATGATACTGATTCTGATGATATTTTTGATGAGGTATATTCAACAATTGACTTTCATCGAAAAAGAAAACATGAACTCTTGAATTTTAATAGAAATCCATGGATCGTAATAATCCAAAACGATGGTCTCAACAACGATCATCAAAACGAACATCTGCTAATGGACATTCATCATCAAAATATCTAACCAATCAATCATTACCATTGAATCCTATATCTACAAGAAAACATAGCGGATCAACAGTAACTGATATTCAAAAAGAGCAAACGACATCAAATCATCCATTTGAGTAAATAAATAAAATTTCTTTTTCGTGAAATACGATCTAAAAGGAGTGTTGAAGTATAAAGAGTGTTCCATGAGTTTTGAGCCTCAATGAAAATTAGTTTATATATAAATCAAGAGTGATCTCTACTCAACTATATTTAATCTTTATGAGCTTCGAGTACTTAGGATGATATTTTAACTAGCATATTAGCTGATGACACTATCTATATCAACAATAGTGATACTAACAGACAAAACCTAATAATTAAAATCTCGAAATCGATCAGTAATTTCTAAAGAAGTTATAATGAACATCATGAATTCATCGTATGCAATGTAACATAATTATACAAAACGATACGTTGAATCTAGAGTGTGGATGTGTCTGTCCTCTGTATCCCTACTCTAATTATCATGTTTCATCTGTTTGTATCACTTTTATTATTATCAGATAATATGTCATTTAAAACATCATTCTAAGTATTCAAAACTCATATAGATATAGTTCGGTATGGATCACTCTTTGTTTCCATATAAACTAATTTTCAGCAATACGCAAAACCTATGAGATACCCTCTAGCGGAAGAGATCTAAAACATGCCTCCCATAAACATGACACACATTTTAGCAACGAGTCCTTATAGACCGTGACAGATGTTGTTGATATTGAATCATAAGAGCTTTTTTTTATTTAGTCGTATGTATAAAGTCGTTTTTTGTGGTGATGCTGCTGTTGGTAAAAGTACATTAATAATGCGTTTATGTAAAGGAAAATTTATTACAAATATAAATTCTACATTGGGTGTTGATTTTCAAAATAAACAACTTGAATTAGATTCAAAACGTATTGCTGTACAATTATGGGATACAGCTGGACAAGAAAGGTAAAAAAAACCGAAAAAAATAATAATGTTTATTTTTATATTGAATACAATTTTTCTTTTTAAAGATTTCGGAGTATTGCAAAATCTTATTTTCGTCGATGTGATGGTGTTATACTTGTTTATGATTCAACATATGAACGATCATTTTTAAATGTTCGAGAATGGATTGACACAATAACAGAATCCACATCAAAAAAAGTTTCAGTTATGATTGTGGCAAATAAAATTGATTTAAGAGATCAAATGCGTGCAGAAGGCAAAAGAGTTGTTGAACATGATGATGGAGCAAGATTAGCTAAAGTTCGTTTTCATTAATATGAATATCAATAAGAATTTGAAATATATTTTTCTTTTGTCTCTAGGAATATCAAGCATTATTTATTGAAACAAGTGCAAAAGATGGTACTAATTCAAATGAAGCACTTATTGAATTAGCTCGGTATGTAATTAAGTTTTATTTAATAGAAAACAAAATTATACAATTTTGTGTCTTTATTTTTACAGAGATATGCAATGTAATGAAGATTTAGAACGTTATCGTACATCTGGAATTGATTTAGATAAAACAACAAAAAAATCAACATGTTGTGGTAGTCGATCTTAAGCAATAAAAAGAAAAAAAAAGATATTTTACTGATTATTCTACTTTTCTTTTTGTTTTTGTTATATATATATATGAATTGTTGTTCTTTTAATTGAATGACAGTCGAATTATTTTTTTGTTTTATTTTGCTATATATATTTAAGTATTAGATTGGAACAAGTGTAATTTATTATCTTGGCTTTTTTTCGAACAGTTTACTTTTCAGTTGTATATACATCTTTCTTTCCTTCTCTTGAATTGTAAGTTATTTCTTCGAAATTGTGTTTGTTCTTGTTCATTTCCTCTTTTTTTTTTTTCTTCTCGTTTTTTCCTTTTTTGTCATGAAATACATATGATGATTATTTTCTCGGTGATGTATTATTGGTCATGATTAGTACAAATTCATCATAATTAACTGAAAATAATGAAAGATTAATTGGTATTTTTTTTTTTGGATACAGTGATTCGTTTTTGTTTACTTCGTCCATCACCATCAATATCGGCTTCAGCAATCATTTCGAGAGCATCTTCATCTGTTGGACGATCACCAGTTGCTTGAAGAACTAGAATGAGAATCTTCGACAGTTACCGATTTTTATGATTTTAATTGAATATATCATAAGATAGTTTCATTTGAAGGTGAGATCACAAAAAAAAAACAAGATGAAAATAATCTTGGATAAGTTTCAATAAAAATCAACTCGAATTTAGAGAAGAGATTCAAGCAATTATTTAATATATCTCCGACTTTTTCCAAAGTTAAAACAACAAAATACCAGTCTACTTGAAGTTCATAACACAAGCCTATTAGTTTTAGATCAATGCTGTTATTGTTGATACAAGTATTATTATTTTTCCAGTTTATTCAAACTTGATTAAAGATATAACACTTTTCAAGAGTTATTTTAGACCGGTACCCGTAATTATTAAGATATATCTGGAGCTCGTACTGAAGATGTGCAGGTCAAACTCGACATACCCCTGCACAGGTTTTGAGGTTCATACCTGTCGACTAATAGACAACTATTATCGAGAAGGTTCTGCAGCGTTTTACATGTTTTTCAGCCCGATAGCATCAGTGCGAGATGGGTTTATAATAAATGATGAACATAGTTTGATTACAGCTCAATGATATTTACTTTCGAGTTATTTGTTTATTTTTGCCGATGCACACAAATACGAGAAAAGGTTGACCTTTTGTTCAATTGGCAAAAAAACTGTAGTTTTCTTAAACTATGTGTCAAGTCTTTTTTTTTTTTTTACTTAAGTGACTGGAGGGTGGTGTGTTAGTAACAGCTGAGTGACTTTGAGTTTCTAGCAATCATACAAGAAACATTCTTCATAATTCCAAATAATAGATATAAATGGTACTTCAAAATCAGAAGTACTCAGCTCAATTAGCTCTCAAAATGATTCCAGGTACTACATCGAAGTAGTCCTTCAAAACTTGTAGCTATCAGCCTAGTATAGCTACCGAAAAGTCATACGTAATTTGTTAATTTCGGATTGATAAAAGCGTATCAAAGAACTGTTGTAGTAGTTCAGTTCTGACCGAAAGTTCTTTAGCTTATTTGATCTGAACTTAGAAGCTGGAGTTGTCCTAGATCTAAACATGATAGTCTAATGCAAATCAAAACCATAGTTTAATATTAAAATTACATTTGGAAATACTTGTATCACAGAAAATAATCTCAATGAATTCTTCAGCAAATAGGTTATTCTAAACTTTAATTTTGAGTATTAGAAGTTGGATGATGATACATGTCATATTTTTATTGACTGAGAAATATTTTTTTTCCTTTATGCTTCAGCAAAGACTCTGTAGAGTCTCACTCTACTCTCTTGTTCTAATAAGAACAGTCATATAATTGAGGTCACTAAGTCTTAGTATTATTCTATAATTTGACTAAAACTTATATTTTCTTGTTTTATTAGTTGATACCTGTACGAAGTTCTTCCATTGTTATAAATCCATTTTGATCAAGATCTACTCATATAAGAATATTTCCTCAATATTTTTTTCTTTTGAATATTTATTAATACCAAATACTTGAAAAGCTCGAAATAATTCTTCACGTGAACTTTTATTTGTATCAACTGCTTTTTTAACCATATCTTAGCATTAAAATTATTCATCAATAAATCATTTAAGATTTTGCTTTTTTTCTACCAACAAATTCTACAAATGAAATAGTACCACTTTGATCTTCATCAACTTCACGAATCATATCTTGTAATTCTTCTTCAGTTGGATCTAAACCCATTTGATCAAGAACAATACGTAATTCTATTAATAAAATTTTCATTTATAGAAAATTTAAGAATAGAATAACTACCTGAAAGTGTTATACTTCCCTAAAATACATGTATAAACTGAATAAACGTAATTGAAAATTTTCTGTATTCTTACATCACCATTTTGATCAAATACACGAAAAGCTTCTCGTAATTCAGCTAATTCTTCTGGACTTATATCATCAAATGCTTTATTAGCTACATTGCTTGGTGATGAACGACTACGATTTTCAGACATTTCAATATAAATATCAAAAAATAATTATAGCGCGTTAATTCAAAATTATTATTCAATTATTAATTCAATAGATGACGCCATCATCTCATACATAAACTATGAAAATAATTTAGATTTTCTTTTTTCTATTTTAATTTTCTCAAATACTTTACATAATAATCATAATCTAAAAAAATAGTATTCATATTTATAAATTCGAAGGTATAAGATGAACTAGAAAGCATAAAATGATTGGTTCATTTATTCACTTGTAACTGTGGAATTTCATTTTTATTTGAGAAAGAGAAAAACATTTGTACTGGTTATATCTCGAAGTTTTGTATCTTCATATAAAAAAATGTCAATTAATCAAGCACATTATCAAAATGGTCTGTTACTCTATCAGGGTGAACAGTAAGTAAATTAATAGAACAGTGGCTGATTTAGAATGGAGGACGATTACCCTTTTCTTTCGAAATATTTTTCGATTTTTCTCAGCTGAAAATGCTCAAGAATGCACTGATATAACCTCTAATATACTTTTAAACATGTTCTGTAACTATAATCGCCCTTCCTCTTTTCTTTCTCAAAATCCTATATCCACCACTGCAATATAATATTTTAATTTATTCTTTTCATTAGAATTGTAAATCATTCTAAAAATGTAACATTATCATTTGTTGATGCTAGTCAAGAATGTGGTGAAGTATTTCGTGGCAAACATAAAGGAAAAGTATTTGTAACAACTCATCGAATGATATTTCTTAATGATGATCAACGAGATAATTTACTATCATTTGCTGTGGCTTTTATGTATATGAAAAATTTACATGTAGAACAACCTTTATTTGGTGCAAATTATATTTCGGGTATAGCTGCTGCACATCCAAACGGTTAGTTCATGTTTCTTTCTTTTTTTTTTCTGTTAATTTCTAAAATGCATATTTTTAATCATTCCAATGATGTTGATGGCGATCTCTATCAGGGTGAGGATGAGATGGTCGTCTTCGTCCATGTTGACGATGACGATCATAATGTCTGTCTCGTTCATCATCTCTATGATATCCTCTTGTTGTTTGCTTGTTAAATTTTTGTATTTTTGATGTTGCATCACATGCAAACCAACCATTTGCTCTCGGTTTCGGATAACCAGTTAATAAAGTTCCATCTGTTGAATCATAAACATAAACATGATTTCTTGTAAATATATAATGTCGTTTATCATATGTAAAACCTGAATGAATTGATTCTTTTGGTGGTGAATCAAGTATTGTCGCAATAGAATGTACGCCTAATTCTCTATTATAATTAAATTCATTTAAAGAATAAACTAAATCATTTTGTAATAAATATATTGAATTATTATGAAATAAAGCAACACGAGAATTTTGTGGATAATTTTTTCCGTGTAATTTATGTGGTCCTTGAATAGACCAATGTGTTCTGACTTTCCACATATCATACTTATGAAATAAATATAAGTAACCAGTTACTGATTTAACACAAGCTGTTACTGTTGCATCTTTGAAGGATGGAAAACGTTGACTAATTAACTTTGGTTCAGAATCCCATTCATGTTTGGTTCGTGCACGATATCTCCATACATGAGTATCTTTAAATAAATAAAGATCGCCATCAGGACCTTCACAACCTGTTTGAAAATCTCCTGAACACCAATTATCCTTTGGTAATACATCAGAAGAACGAGTTGATGTTATTGGTGATAAATTTGTTGTTACTGCTGATTTCTCATCTGCTTTGCCATATAAACTTTGAATACCTTCTTTATCATCATTTGATATACTATAATTTGAATCAAATTGTTGATAAACAGGAAACATAAGAGAATTTTCTTCAAATGAATGTGATAAACCAAGTGCATGACCTATTTCATGTGCAGCAACAAGTCTTAATGTATATTGATCATTCTTATTTGTATAATCATCTGTAAAATATTCATCATCATCAAAATGTATATCACCACTTTTTGGATAAAAGGCATGTGCTAATGTTGCACCTTGACCATCAAATGGATATCCATCCTCATGGTCATTTGAAAAAAATTTTATTCTGAAATTAGCCGCTTCTTTTGTTTTAGCCATTTCAAATGTAAGTCCAGAATGTTTTTCCCAATCAGAAAATGCTTGATTTATTATACGACGAATATCTTCATGAGATTTTATATGTTTTTGTTGTTTTGGATATTCTACAATAAACCATTTTAAGTGTTTTGTTGGCCAAGTTTTTTCATATGTTACATAATCTTCAGGTTCATTTATATTAGCTAATCGTCCTTGATTTGATGGTGAAGATCTAAGTTTACCATCATTGATAGTACGCTTTTTAGCATTAAGAATACCTATATCTGGATTTCCACAACGTGCACGTTGCATAAGTTGTTTAGTTGGTTCATCAAGTACGCCCGTTTCCTAAATATTTATGTATTCTTATTTAAAACGATTAAATAATATAACTTACAGGCAATTTATAAAGACGTTGAAATGTTTTAATACCTTCATTGGCACTCGATTTACCCGAGACTGATAAGAGTCGATTTTCAAGTTTAGGTGTATAACCATATTGTTCTAAATATCGATAATAATCTTGTTCAGATTTAGCAGAAATACAAATTTGAATATGATTGATGAAGATGAAAAAACCGACATATACGATTTGATTCATTCTCATGGTCGAATTGATTGTATTTTGTTTGTTGTTGTACGTTTTATTTTGCTTTCGAATCAATCAATTGATAAGAATATGTGTTTTGACTGACATTTATATAGGTTTTCTCTTATTTATTGATTAGGTGGATTTCAAGGTGAAGTCAAATTTCAATTAACTTATTCATCGGGTGGTGCCATTGATGCGAGTACAGCATTACGTGAAGTTAATTCGATTTGTGAGTCATTATTGTTATATGTACCAATCAAAATACAACTTTGTTTTTTTTTTATATTTTTAGTTCATCAAGGTACTGAAGGAACGCCACCGTAAGTTTTTTTTCATACTTTTCAAAAAAGTTTTTTTTATTTATTATGTTGCCTCTAGTTCTTATGGTATGGCTGCAGCTAACCTTTATGAACCACCGCCACCATCATATCAAGCAGCACAGGCTACAAATAATCATTTTGCAGGTAAATTTTAGAAAAACAAAAGAAAGAAAACAATTTTTCTATGTGAAATTTTATTTTGTTAAATCATAGAAACAACTATGTATGTTTCACAAGCACAAGCACCATATGAAGGAGTTTATCAACGACAACCAAAAGGTTTACCACCAGCAGAATTCATTCCGCAATATCCTGATATATCATCAGTAAATGTAAATAATTCCACAATGTATCCTTCAATGGCAGATGGATATCAATCTCAAACGGCTTATCAAGATAATGGTTTTGGTGGGCAAATGAGTGAAAAACAGGTTGGTTATTTTTTTCGTTTAACAACTTAAAGAATTAATATAATTAAATATAGAATTATCAAATGCCACCGTCATATGAACAATCACAAAATCAATTTCAACAAAAGAAACATGCTTGAAAAGAAACCGGTGACATCAAATTCGATATGATTATATATTTTTATGCATATTCATTTATATATTTATTTTTTAATATTGTGTTTGTGCGTTTTTGTGCATCGTACTATATTTGTATATTACTGCCAAGTCAAATTGTGCTTCTCGTTTTTCTTTCTTGCAATCAAAATTGATCTGAAATATTTTTGTTGTTATTGTGCAATAATGAATATATATTTATTTATTGAATGAAATATAATTATACATTGTAGATGCTCTATCGTTCAATAACAAGCAAAGATGTGGCAACATTACCACAACCTGGTTTAAATTTAGCTGAATCAATAAAATTTAATCCCGATGATACTCTTTTAACTTATCTTCGTTCACCAAATCAAACATTAACAAGACAAATTTATGCATATAATATTCAGACAGAAAAAGAATTTGTTTATGCTGAACCTAATATAGGTCATGGAAAAACAGACGAAAATCTTTCAATGGAAGAAAAATTACGACGTGAAGTGTGTGTTTTATTTTTGAAATTCTAAATACAGAAAAAAACGAGATTATTTGTATCAAACAAAAACGGAATGATGAGGAAAATATCCCAATTGATTAATTGTTATGAACGTTTTGCATTGTGACAGTATTGATTAGAACAATTGTCGCGGCCCCGCGTAAGAACACTAACATAACTGATCTTTGAATTTTGCACGGAAATACACCTTAAATAGAATAGTTTTTGGTGAAAGTTTCAGATCTTTTTGCTATTCCTATCCTAACACACGACTGTAATAGAAGTGTGTTTTTTTCAGATTACTCGTAAATACTCACAGATTTTATGTTATTATTTCAGGTCACGAGCAAATCAAACGAACTAAAACTTTCACAATAAAATATTCTCGTTATGATCTGTCTCTATGCAAAGCTTCAAGTTGAAATTCGAAAGTCAGCTTTCTTGGATGGTTCGAACTGTTTTCAAGATATTTATCATTCGTTAGGCTCCACATGATGCGCATAGTCCTAGTACAAAAGTAATTAATCAGTCGGGGAACCGCACCCATGAGATTTTCTAGAGAAGAAAAACAAGGAAATAAATTATTCAAATTTTTATTTGAACAATTAGTGGAGATGATCTATTGAGTATTTTCTTGAAATGATTTAGAGAGAATTTCTGAAAACTAATAGTGCTAATTCAACAAGGATATAGTTTAGACATAAATGCAACTATAGAATTTTTCACGTTATGTAGTCTTAAATATAATCTTAAAATCATTAAAAAGTAGCATTGTGTCATGCACGAGAATTAATTAATTCCTAGCAAATTTTTAACAAAACTTGACTCTAAATACCTTATGAGAGAGCAAAAACTTGTTTCTGTAATTATTTTCTTCAAAAATCTCACTCCTGTTATAATAATCTCATTGAAAATATGAAAAATTTTGTTTTCAATATCGATCAATTAAAAAAAAGACATTAATGATAAACTTTTTATTTATAATCAGAAAAAAACATCATTACAAATTGTTTCTTTTACTTAAGCGTCAACGTCAGTTAATCACTGGAATAACTCGTTATCAATGGGCTAAAAATAAAACTCGACCATTAATGCTTATACCTATTGGTAGTGATCTATATGTTCATGATAGTAAAGAACTGCGTCTTTTGGTCAATGGAACTAATCAACCACCAATTCTTGATCCAAGACTTTCACCTGATGGTTCATTGGTTGGATATGTTCAAGACTGTGAACTTTATTGTGTATCAACAATAGAAACATCTCCACAACCACGTCAATTAACATTTGATGCACGTGGTCAACCAAATAAAACAAATGGTCTTGCAGAATTTATTGCTCAAGAAGAAATGAATCGCAGTGAAGGCTTTTGGTGGTCAGATGATTCGCGTTTTATTGCATTCACTCAAGTCGATGAATCAAATGTGCCAATATTTCGTATTTCACATTCCGGTTCTGATGATCCTGATCAAGTAAAATAAAACTTAAAACAAAAAGATAAATCAGTCTTTTCTTGTTTACTATTAAAAATTCTCTAGGATGAAGAACATCGATATCCATTTACTGGTAAATCCAATGTAAAAGTTACTGTTGGTATTATTGATCTAAAAGATAATAATAAAACAACACCTACTATTCATTGGATTGATTTAAGTTCATTTCATGATTATTATATAGCACGTATAAAGTTTTTTCTTGATAATAGTCTTGCTTTACAAATTGAAAATCGTCAACAAACAAAATTACAATTATATCAATATGATTTTTTAAATAAAAAACTTTTAAAATTATTAATTGAAGAAACAAGTCAATCATGGATTAATTTACATGATTTATTTTATACATTGAAAAAAACATCAACACAATTTATATGGGCTAGTGAACGAACTGGTTTTATGCACTTAGAATTACATGATTTAAATACTGGAAAATTAATAAAATCATTAACAAATGGTGATTGGGTTGTACAACGTATTATTGATATTGATGAAGATAATTCAATTATTTATTTTCTTGCTAATCGTGAAACACCATTAGAAGTACATCTTTACAGTGTTAATTATAATGATGATATATCAAAAATAGATCGTATTACACAAGAAGCTGGTTGTCATGTTGTTTATTGTTTTAATCGAACATATGAATATTGTATAACACAATGGAATTCAATAGATCAATATCCAATTGTAAGAATGTTAGATGTTAAAAAGAAAAAAATTATTAAAAATTTAGATCATTTACAACAAGGACAATTACAAATCATAGAACAATTTCATCTTGTTAAACCTCAATTAATAAAAATACAAAATAGAAATAATGATACACTTTATTGTGCAGTTTATAAACCTGATGATGAACAAGGAAAATATCAAAGACCATATCCAACACTTGTATCAGTTTATGGTGGACCTCATCTTCAACGGTATGTTCCATAAATGAAATAAGATTAATATTACTTTTTAAATTCGCTGATTTGTTTTTTCGTTTCTAGTGTAATAAATTCTTGGTCGCTTCGTGCAGATATGCGTTGTCAACGTTTAGTTGAATCTGGTTATGTTGTATTACGTTTAGATAATCGTGGTAGTCCCAACCGAGGATTAGCTTTTGAAAGTGCTATTAGATATGATATGGGAAATTTAGAACTTGAAGATCAAGTTGATGGTATAAATTANAAGTAAGAATTTAAAATAACGAGCTCTGTCATATGCTGTATTCTGACATACTATAAAAAACAACAACGAAATATATAGAAAGAGGATCCAAAGAGAACAAATAAGCTATTTGTGACCATTTTTTTCTTGAATATGTATCGTGAACATCATGATATAGTGCTGAAAATATGATGAGATTTGAATGTACTTTGCCTAAGATCGATTTTTGAAAAGTGGCCTTAATGAAATAACTTGAAACGATAGATTAATGTCGTTTATATTATTCATTCTCTTTATAAACGAATAGAATATTATACAGCATAGCCGTATGTCTCTGACTCATCATTTGAATGACCTAGAGTTATTTTCTTTTTATCAAAAAGTACACTAACTTTCGACGAGGAAGGAACGAAAAGGTTATACATATATATTGACCAATGACCGACTAGAAAAGAAAAAAAGTACCGTTTCTCAACAATGACTCGTGAACTATTGTTTACTCAAATGTGCAAAGAATATCATATCAGAATTAATATTTATCGTGGATTTATTCATATCGAAACCATTTTTTTAATGAAATATCAAGTAATTTTTAAACTTTAAAATATTAAAAAAATATATATCAACAATGTTTCGATGGAATACTGCAACTATTTTATTCTTCATTGTATATTGATCATCTCATAATGAAATAGTTCCTTTTAAATTCGCTGATTTGTTTTTTCGTTTCTAGTGTAATAAATTCTTGGTCGCTTCGTGCAGATATGCGTTGTCAACGTTTAGTTGAATCTGGTTATGTTGTATTACGTTTAGATAATCGTGGTAGTCCCAACCGAGGATTAGCTTTTGAAAGTGCTATTAGATATGATATGGGAAATTTAGAACTTGAAGATCAAGTTGATGGTATAAATTATCTTATAAAACAAGGTATTACAGATAAAGCACGTGTTGGTATATATGGTTGGTCTTATGGTGGTTATATGTCTGCTATGGCGTTAGTTCGTCAAAGTGAAGTTTTTAAATTAGGAATAGCTGGTGCACCAGTTACACATTGGGATGGGTAAATATAAATGTTATTATAATAATATGTATGTTTAGAAATCTTTCTATTTTCAGATATGATACTCATTATACGGAACGATATATGGGCACACCAGAATACAATCCTCTTGGATATGTTGTGTCAAGTGTAATGCATCATATAAGTAATTTAACAGGTCATTTAATGATAATACATGGTTTAATTGATGAAAATGTTCATTTTCGTCATTCAGCTCGTCTTATAAATGCACTTATACGAGCAAATAAATCTTATGAACTTATTCTTTTTCCTGATGAACGGCATATGCCAAGAAAACTTGATGAAAGAATTTATATGGAAGATCGGATATTTGAATTTATTAGGAAAAGCTTATAGTTAAAACTTCCTCTTTTTTTTCATATTATTTTTAAAACAATCTTTACGCTTATAAACTTTTATAGTAAAATAAAATATACGTGTCAAAATTAAACAAGAAAACGAAATATTAATTTTATCATTTTAGATCTCGTAAAATTTCCATTATCGATTTTTGTTGTTTTCGTATAAAAAATGAAACATAAAAAACAAAACCAAATGGCTGTTGAAGGTGGATTTTATTTATTGTTAAAATAATTTATAATCGTTTTCTATTTCCTTTGAATATTAGAATTTGAACAAGATCAACCAAGTTCTCAAGAAGATAATGGATCAAATGGGACTAAAAATATTCAATTAACCGAAGAAGATAAAGAAAAAGGAAATTTTAAAAATTTTAATATTTCAAAAAAGACGATTAAGAAACTTAAAGGTAAATTTGATCTATTCTGTTTTTCTAAAATGTTGTTTCGTGAAAAAAAACAATTATATAATTATAATTTTATTTTAGCTCGTAATATTCAGTTTCTCTATCCAGTTCAAACAGAAAGTTATACATCTATTTATGAACAAAAAGATTGTTTAATTCAAGCATCTAATGGAACTGGAAAAACATTAGCTTTTGTAATTCCTATTGTTGAATTACTTCAAGCTGATAAATCTGTTGAATTAGCACCGGGACGAGTACCACGTGCTCTTGTTTTGGTACCAACACGAGATATAAGTAAGTGTTAATATACTTCGGAAAAACGAAAAGTAATAGTGAAGATATTCCATTTCCTTATAAAAAGTTTAAAGAAACTTTCTCTAATAATTGATTATTTTTGAACTGATATTCTGATAATAAAATTTTGATAAGAACTGTCTGTTATCATATGTAACGATAATGTTAAATCACATTATGTCTTTAATGTGTATCTTTTTCTATTTTCTTGTTGTCTCAAATATCTAGCTTTTTATAAATATCAGGGTATAGAAAAGGTGGCTTTGACAGAATAAAAGAGAAATATAGAAACAAGTTCATTGAGTATCAATTTCATCAAATGTTCGAAATAATTACTCTGGTCATTCACACTCAATTGTATTCGTTAAATCCATTTATCGAACATTTTTTATACTATTCTTTATTCAAAAAATCATGAACTTGTTTATAAAATGATGTAATGGTTTAAAATCATTTCGATCGCTCGGATTTTGTTCCATTAAGTCAAATAACAAAAAGATCACATGATACTAGATCTGAAGAATTACTTAAGTAAAAACTGAAGACGAGAAAAAAAGAAAAACAAAGAGAACATCAAGAATCAGATGTACATCGAAGACAAGATATGATCTACTGTTACCATCACATATAGGAAGCTGCAAGTCCACGCTTTTGTGGACTTCGGTTCGGATCCAGACTCGCAACTTCATAATCACATATAACAAACAATTTCTATCGATCTTTAAGATTTTTATAAGGAATTAAAATAGTAATCGGTAAGATAAATACTAATAAATCTTTATTTCGTAGCTAAACAAATCTCAGATGATTTTCAATCAATTGTTAATGATTTATCAATTGCAACAATTTATAGTACCAAGAAAAAATCAGATGATCAAGAAACAGCTATTTCAAATGGTTGTGATATTCTTGTTGCAACACCTGATCGATTAAAAGAATTTATTGATAATGACAAAATTGATTTATCTGAAATAAAACATGTTATTCTTGATGAAATTGATCGTATGCTTGAATCAACTGTGATTGATCATATAAAAACAATTCTTAAACATGTTTTTACATCAGGTAATCATCAAAAACAAAAAAAACTTTCAGTATTAATTATTATACTTTAAAATAGATCAAGAAACAAAATCACAATTGATTGTTTTTTCTGCAACCATGCCTGATTCAGTTCGTAAATTAACTAAAAAATATTTAACAACAGATTGTGTTACAATTAATTTGGCCGAAAAAAATACAGAAAAAGCATCAGCTGATGATAAAGTAAATTTCTTTTTATTTATTAAATTATTCTCTTTTTTTCTTATTAATTAGGACTTCGAAGAATCGTTTAATGCTTCATCAACTAATGATGAATCCGAAAAATCAGATCAAACTTCTCGATCACTTTTATCAAAACAAGAAGCAAATACAAAATTTCTTTTAATTACTTTTTTATTTATATTTGATTCATTTTTTCTTAGAATTATACAACATATCAATTAACAACAAATGATGAAATAAAAAGTATCGGACTCGTATTTACAATGTTACGTAAATGTTTGGGTGATGATTTTGATGCTAAAGGTAGCGTTGCACAAATCGCATTTACGAAAGATTTTCGAGTATGTATAAACATATGAAAGTGTTTTATTATTAAATAAGACTTTCTAATTAGTGTGCCATATTCGATTTTCCAAGTGAACTTGATGAACAATTACAGGGTTGTTGGAAAGATAGTGCAAGAATACAAATGGGACCAATTACAGAATTGCCCGAACTTGATGAATCATCAATGAATGATTATAAAAATTTTTCAGGTGGTAACAATAGATCATCACGTGGCGGTGGCGGTGGTGGTAATCGAAATTCTGGAAAACCAAGTAAAAATAATTGATGTTTTTATTTTGTTGCAATATTCTATCATTCTTTTGTTTGACTTTCTAGATGCATGCTTTGATTGTAAGTTTTTCTTCATGTTGTATATAAATTAATGCAAAATAAAAAATATTGCTTTAGGTCAAAAAGAAGGTCATAAATCTTGGGAATGTCCTGAATCTAATGGTACACAATCTCAACGAAATGGTGGAAATAGATCCGGTGTGTTATTTTAATTTTATATTTAGAAAAAAAAGAGTATTGTTTTAAGGTGGTGGTTGTTTCAATTGTGGCAAAGATGGTCACAGATCATTTGAATGTTCAGAACCGAAAAAAGCCGGTGGTCGTTCAGGTGGTGGTGGAGAGCGATCAAGTAAATTAATTGTTTTTTTATTGTTTAACAAAGAAAAATAAATATATAATAATATTTGTAGATGCATGCTTCAACTGTGGTAAAGATGGCCATAGATCATTTGAATGTTCAGAACCAAAAAAAGCTGGTGGTCGTTCAGGTGGTGGAGAAAGATCCAGTATGTCTTTTTTTTATTTTTGATTATCAAAAGTCTAAAACTTATATTTAGATGCATGCTTCAACTGTGGTAAAGATGGTCATAGATCATTTGAATGTTCAGAACCAAAAAAAGCTGGTGGTCGTTCAGGTGGTGGAGAAAGATCCAGTATGTCTTTTTTTTATTTTTGATTATCCAAAGTCTAAAACTTATATTTAGATGCTTGTTTCAATTGTGGTAACGATGGTCACAAATCATTTGAATGTCCAGAACCTAAAAAAGGTCGACCATCATTTGGTGCCGGTGGTCGTGGCGGAGCTCGTGGTGGTGGTGCAAAACGTAGTTTTGGTACTCATAGCGAAAACGGCCATAATACTGGTGAAACAACTAGCAAAAAGATCAAATTTAATGACGATGATGACGAATGAATAAACAAACTGACATAAAAAAAAAAATTTTTTTCAGTGTGTTTTTTCTTTTTGTTGTTTTTGTTGTTTTCTACATTCATCAATTTTTTTATGATGTTTGTAGTATTGTTGTTTCATCCGAATAACATTAAACAAACATAATAATGAGATTCCAAAAAAAAAAACGATAAATTTTTCATCTATGAGCGACATCATTTTAATCAATATGGAGGAGAAGATGATGGTTGTCATAACATTTTATATAGAAAGAAAGAAAAAAAATGCTTGATCAATCATTGAAATTTTAAGGATTGAAATATATATTGAACAATAAAATGGTAAAACAAACAATTCAAATATTTTGTCGAATAAAACCAGCAAAAGCAAAAACATCGGTATGGAGAGTTTTATTCCTTGTTTTTTGGAAAACAACAAATAAGTATTGTTTATAGGTTTATGAAATAAATCCAGTTGAAGATGGAGCTAATTTATCAATTATTATTCCAAAAGATGCAACAGAAGGTTATATAAATAATAAACGAGAAGATTTTCGCTTTCGGTTTGTTAAATAGAATCAAAAGAAGACAAATTATTTATAATTTTTATGTTACAGTTTTCGTAATATATTTGATCAAAATGCAAAACAAGATGATGTTTTTTCATCAGTTGCTCGACCAGTTATTGATAAGTAAGATTATTAATCAGGGACGTAATGATTTGTTCTTTCCTACTTCTAAAAATTGTCCACATTATATTCTTCTCACTTTCAGCGCTGAATTATGTGTAGAATCCTGGTGAACAAACTTTTTCATGTTGAGATATATTATTTTGGAATTGTTCAGTTGAAAGTGAGAAGTGCACATCTGAAATCCGCTTTTCAAAAACCGGATTCCGTTCGGAGACTATAAAATTGCAGAAAATGATAATTAACAACTGAAAATTTTCTTATATAACCATAGTTGATTCACATTCATTATGTCTTAGCTTGTCAGCTGAGCCTAGATAGCTGAATATCACTGAAATTCATTATAAATTGCTTTAAGGAAGTCTAAAGTTTAGAAATATCAAATGCTCTACAGGATCGCGCTCTCTACATTTTTCCGGATCATGCAGTCTATCTCTTTGTCTGTTTTTTTTCTATTATTTATTTGAATATGAAGATATTTGTTAGAAAGAAGAAAATAAAACTGTACCACACGTTTTGCTATAAGAATTATAAAAGTTTGGAACAAACGAGATTTTTCGAGATTCAGCACTATCCCACCGGAGTCTAATTATGCCTCTAATTATTATTATTTAAGAACAGAAGATTTAAAAAATTTTGTCATTTAGTGTGATTGCTGGATACAATGGTACAATATTTGCATATGGACAGGTAAGGTTTTGTTTTTGGGTTGAATCTTAAAGAAATTATCAATTGATATTAAATAATTTTTGTATTTAAATTCTAGACAGGATCAGGTAAAACATTTACAATAACTGGTGGACCTGAACGTTTTGCTGATCGTGGTATTATTCCACGTTCACTTTCATATATTTTTGAACAATTTGGACAAGTAAATATAATAAAACTATTCATTCATATTAATAATAAATTCTTATTCTTTAAGAATTCGGATCAAAGTTATACTGTTCATGTATCTTATTTGGAAATTTATAATGAAAACGGTTATGATCTTCTTGATCCTAAACATGAAGCAGCGAAACTTGAAGATTTACCGTAATGATTTTTTTTTTATAAATTTAATAAGAAAAAAACTAACAAATAAGATAATCTTTCTCTATTGTTTCGTAGAAAAGTACTTTTAATGGAAGATGAAGATCAAAATATGCATTTAAAAAATTTATCGATTCATGCTGCACAAAATGAAGAAGAAGCACTTAATTTATTATTTCTTGGTGATACAAATCGAATGATTGCTGAAGTAACACATATATTAAAAATCAACTAATAGGTTTTAGATTAATTTAATTATTTTTCTTCTTAGACACCAATGAATCAAGCATCAACACGTTCTCATTGTATATTTACAATACATATAACCAGCAAAGAAATAGGTTCTGCAACTGTACGTAAAGCAAAATTACATCTTGTCGATTTAGCTGGGTATGTAATTGATTATTTTTTTGTTTCCGAACTTGTGGCAAATCTCAAATTGTTACTAATTTTTACTACATGTCTAGTTGCTGATTTTTGACAGAAGTAACCGATGACAAATAACAGAAAACAGTAATTTACTTGTGTACATAATTGAGAAATGTCACCAGCAGTGTTTTATTTAGATTTTCTTCTTCGAAGGGAAGTTTTAAAACTTCATATGATTTTTTCCAATTCATAGAAATTTCAAAGAATTGAAATTTATAATAATTTTCAAATATAGATTTTAATATTAGTACCAACTTGAGATTTGTTACTCGTTGCTTTTGTTTTGGTTTTAATTTAAAAAAAGTAATATTGTTTCTATTCAGTTCTGAACGTGTATCTAAATCAAATGTAAATGGTTTATTATTAACTGAAGCAAAATATATTAATTTATCTTTGCATTATCTTGAACAAGTTATTGTTGCATTGTCAGAAAAAAATCGTTCACATATACCATATCGAAATTCTATGATGACATCTGTATTACGTGATAGTCTTGGTGGAAATTGTATGACAACAATGATTGCAACATGTTCAATTGATAAACGAAATATTGAAGTAAGAGATTTCTTTTTTTTTTTTTTTGTTATTAAAAATTTTCTTGTTTTTTTTTCTTTTAAATATAAGGAAACAATATCAACTTGTCGATTTTCTCAACGTGTTGCATTAATTAAAAATGATGCTATACTTAATGAAGAATTAGATCCACGTTTATTAATTAATCAATTACGAGCTGAAAATCTACAATTACGTAATCAAATTTTAATGCAAAATGGTAGTGAACAATTTAATGAATCCTTAACACCCGAAATGATAGCTAAGTAAGTTTTGAAGAAAGAAAAAGAAAATTTATTATTTTCTTTATTCTATTTAGATTAGTCGAACAAGTTAAAGTTTATTTAGCTGATACAGATAATGAAGCAACATTAAATGTTGGTGCTGATATGCGTAAAATTGATCAATGTTATCGAGCATTTAAAGTAAGAAATATTTTATTTTAATTGCATATAAAATAATCATATTTTTTCTACATAGAAATTATATCTTGAATTACAAGAACAAGCTAAAACAGCATCGACACAATCAACAAAAAATAGTCAACCAATTTATATAACACATGATATATCACCATATGATAGTAAAGAAGTTAAAGAATTAAAAGAAATTATTAAATTACGAGATAATGAAATTAGTATACTTGTGAATATGTTAAAAAAAGAAAAGAAAACAGAATATCGACCATTTAGTGAAAGGTAAATCGATATCCTTTTCTTGTTTTGAATAAGATGATTTTTAAATTTTAGTACGACACCACCAACTGAAAATTCATTTTCATCAACTGATCGTGCAACAAATCAATGTAAGTTAAAGAAAACAAAAACAATTGAAAATTAGAGAAAGAACACGTAACATGACAAACTGTTTTCTGTAAAAATAATGTTTTACAGCCAGGTCGAGTTCAGGTTTGACATCAAAATCGACAATAATGAGATCTCGACATTTTAAAATATATTTTACTTTTTCAAACTACTAGAGTTTATAAAAAAAAAAAAGCATGGGAATGAAAACTGGCTCAATCATGATGCAGCCATTTATTGTACTTGAAAACAGGTTAAAGAAGTGGAAAGCGATATTGTTTTACTAAGAGAATTCGTTTTTTTAATAAAAATTCATCTACGGAGGATGAGAAATCATATGATGAAGTAATTGAAAACATGAAAAGGAAAATGAACTATCAAAGAGATGAACATGTAAGTTATGTAAAAAGTATTCATCTATGCATTCACACCTATGACGTTTGTTATCAATACTACGTTTCATTTCAGCTTTATCATCAATAAGCAAATGTATACTTAGCGAAATTGGTCGAATTTTAGAAGCAGAAACACACAAAGTGAATCCGAAGTTATCTAATTCACTTGCCTTTATGTTGAAGAAGCTAAATAGTATACTTTCTCATGTAAAGTAAAAGTTTGAAAACTGTATAATGACTGTAAAAGTATCTGTCAAATGTCGGTTAGCTTCGATCCACGTGCAAAAACTCGTATCCGTATAGGACACTACTTAAGATGTTAGATTTGACTGCGTAATCTAGTGATGTAAACGTATACTATGTTTAAAATGGTTTTTTCTTTGTTCAATTTTTCCATTAGAATGAATTTCATGAAAAATTGCGGGTCTAACAATTTTAATTTTAGGAACAAGTTCTAGTTCATATCTTGCGTCTATCACAGAAAAATGTGTTTCTTTATTGTAACTTTCAGTTTTCTAATAGCGTCTTGCATCTTATTTTTGGTATCGATTTATCTTACTCGTTTTTTTTTGGTTCAAAAAAGCTTTTGTGTATTACTATAAATTTATCAACTATTATTCGTATCGACCACTTTTCATAGATCCATTTTTCTCTATTTAATCATTTTATCAATTTTAGCTCTTTGTTTTTGAACAAAATATTTCACACGTTTGTGATTAATTGATTAAGATCTACAAAGTGAAATACGATATCTTAATTGAAGATTTTTTCAGAAGCATAAATATAAAAATATTTATTGTAAATAAATAATTTTCATCATTTCTTTAATTATTAATTTCAGTAAAAAATATGTCTGCTGGTCGTCAAGAAGCATTTGATCATTTTCGACGAGATAATCCTCTTAGTCAAAAACTTGAAGAACATAAACGTATATTAAAACAACGTTATACAGAAGCTAAAACACTTGGAGAAGAAATAAATCAATGTCGAAATCGAATTAGTAATAATAAATTTATCTTCTTTATTCTGGCATAATTAATATTTTTATTTCATAGATCATATGAAAGGGCAATATGAACAAATGCATTTACGTCTTGCTGCACAATTAACACAAGATGAAATAGA